TTGGTGTTGGCTGCCTCCAGGACCTTGGCATCACCACTACGTTCCCTGGTCACGAGCGGTACGCTGTCTGTACCGAGGCCGCCAATGGTGCTCCACTCACCACATTCCCCTGGGACCCGGTGTCTGGATTGTACACACTGGACACCGCGACCCCCCCGGTTGGGACATCCCCTCAGGTGGCTGCGTCTACCCAGGTTGATGTTGCCTGCTCCTGTCGGTCGCTCAATCATCCGACACTCCTACGGCACCACCGTCTAGGTCACCCTGCACTCCCGGTCTGCGTCACATGTCCCAGCACGGTCCTGTCCTAGGTCTCCCAGGGTCGTTCCCCAAGTTGCCCTCCTCCCCAGCACCACCGTGCACGCCCTTTGTCGAGGGCCACCTCCGCCGTGCCTCTAACTCCTTCTCGTTTCCCCCTACCACTGCACCACTACAGACTTTGCACATGGACGTCTGGGGCCCCGCCCCCGTCCATGGGCCGCGTCGCGAGCGCTACTTCCTCATGCTTGTCGACGACTACACGCGCTACACCACCGTGTTCCCCATGAGCGGAAGGCCGACATGCCCGACGTTCTCATCCCGTGGCTTGTCTCTGCACGTGTCCACCGCGGTCTCCCTGTCTTGCGTCTCCACTCCGACCGTGGTGGCGAGTTTGCCTCTGGTGTCCTTGATCGTTTCTGTCGTGCGGAGGGCATCATCCAGATGTTCATCTTGCCGTATTCCCCGCAGCAGAATGGGGTCGTTGAGCGACGCATTGGTTTGGTCATGGAGATGGCTCGCACCTCCATGATCCATGCCGGTGCACCACATTTTCTGTGGCCGTTCGTCGTTCGCTACGCCGCTCACCAGCTTAACCTGTGGCCGCACCCCCAGCAGCCGCGGGTTTCGCCGACCCTTCTTTGGTCCGGGTCTCTTGGTGACGCGTCTGCGTTCCACGTCTGGGGTTGCCTTGCTCACGTTCGTGCCCTCCCTTGTGTCTTCCTCTGTTTCCCCCTTGACGCGCCCGACTGGCACTTCTACCACATGCCGTCTCACAGGTTCTTTCACTTCCGTGACGTCACCTTTGACGAGTCTGTCTCCTTATACCACCGCTTCCCCCACACAGGTCCCCCGGTTACTCCCCCCCTGTTCTTGGTCACCCCTTCCCCGGTCGCCCCTGTCCCCCCCCCCTCCCCCTCCCCGTCCTGCACCGTCTGGTGTGTCCCACGTCACCCCCCTCACATCGGTTGTCCCGGTCAAGGATTCTGCTGACTCTGGTGGTCCTGCGACGCAGTCCTCGCCACGTGCCCCTCCCCAGGTGTCTCCTCCTCCGCTGCCTTCGGGGCTACCATCGCCACCGCTGTCGCAGCCACCGTCGCTGCCGCCGCCGCAGCCGCCGCCGCCGTTGCAGCCGTCGCCGCAGCAGTTCGTTGACTTTGGGGGTGCTAGCGTTGGGGTGGGTACCCGTCCTGGGATTCCTGTCGTCGCTTGTCCCGGCGGGCCTGGGGGTGGTACCGGTGCTCGAGGGGTTTCGGGCTCTGGGGGTGTTCCTTCTGGGGGTGCTGGAGTGGAGTGTTCCGGAGGTAGCCGTGGAGCAGCTTGCGGTCCCGGTGTCGGTGTCGTGCCGCCGCAGCAGCAGTTGCCGCCGGTGTACGCCCTTCGCCTGCTTGGCCTTCCGTCCCTTGACCCTGCGTCTCCGCCTCGCGTGCGGTCTCCTCCTCTCCCTGTCTACGACCCTATGTTCTCTCCCTGGACTCGACTCCGGCTCGTCTTCCCCCTCGTTCCCCTTCTGTGTCCCTCCTCTGTCTCCTGACCCGACTCCTCCGTCTCACGTCTGGTCTCGCCGTCTCTCCTGTGCTCGCCCCGTCTCCCCTGTCCCGCGCTCTCACCCTATGTTACTTCGTTCCCACGCGTCTTGTCCTACCCTCCTACCGTCGTCTCCTCCGTCCTCTCTTGTTGTTGCGCCTCCCCCTCTGTCTGACTACCTTCGCGCCGCTCGTCCTCTTGTTCCTCGGGTCCTTGCCTCTCTCGTTACCGACCTATCTGTTCCGGTCTCGTGTCTTGACGCCCCTGTCGCTGCGGTCGCTGACTTTGCCTCTACCCACCGCCTTGACTACGCCAGCGCTCTGGTCTCTGACCTTGCCAGTCCTCCGTCTGTCGGGGGTGCTCCTGCCCTCGGTAGTGATGTCGTGGAGGACCGCCAGTATGAGCTTACTTTTCTGTCCGAGGCTGCTCCCCATCTCTGTTCCATGCTGCTAGTCCCTGAGGGTGACCCTGACGCTTTCGACATCCCGACCCCTCGCGCTTACGCTGAGGCGGTTTCGGGACCTTGGGCCTCTCAGTGGATAGCTGCCATGGAGCAGGAGATGGCATCTTGGAGATCCACCGGCACCTACGTCGACGCAGTTCCCCCACCTGGGGTGAACGTAGTCGATAGTCGGTGGCTCTTCAAGGTGATGCGCCCCCCTGGAGAGCCGCCTGTGTTCAAGGCGCGCTACGTGGCTAGAGGCTTTAGTCAGCGTCAAGGGGTGGACTTCTTTCAGACTTTCGCTCCGACCCCGAAGATGACTACTCTTCGGGTGCTACTACACGTAGCAGCTCAGCGTGACTACGAGCTGCACTCCCTCGACTTCTCCACTGTGTTTCTTCAGGGCAGCCTACACGAGCAGGTCTACCTGCGCCGCCCTTAGTGTTTCAGTGGTACCTTTCCTCCTGGGACTCAGTGGCTCCTGCAGCGCCCCGTCTATGGCCTACGGCAGGCTCCCCGTGAGTCTTTCAGTGGTACCTTTCCTCCTGGGACTCAGTGGCTCCTGCAGCGCCCCGTCTACGGCCTACGGCAGGCTCCCCGTGCTACCCTTGCTGACCTGCAGTTCTTTCCGTCCACTGCAGACCCCTTCCTCTTCGTTCGTGCTGGCCAGACTCCGTTCTACATCCTTGTTTACGTAGACGATCTGGTCTTCGCCACTGCCGACAGGGACGCACTGGCCTCGGTGAAGGCAGAGCTACTGAAGAAACACACGTGCACTGACCTAGGAGAACTGCACCACTACCTTGGCTTGCAGATCTCCAGGGACAGAGCAGCCCGCACCATCACTTTGACTCAGTCACACTTGGTGCGCTAGGTCCTTCAGAGGTTCGGCCTTCAGTTCTCCTCTGCACAGCCCACCCCTCTGCCAGTAGACCACAGGCTCTCCGCTCCAGTTCCTAAGGAGTCGGTAGAGCCCAGTGGTCCTTACGCAAAGCTGGTGGGTTGCCTCATGTACCTGATGACTTGCACTCGCCCAGATTTTGCATACCCTCTCAGCATCTTGGCTAGCTTTGTGGCCACAGGCAGACACCGACCTCAGCACTGGTCTGCTGCTAAGAGGGTTTTGCGCTATCTTGCAAGTACATCAGGCGTGGGGTTAGTGCTAGGAGGGCGCAGGCCAGTGGTCCTTGCTGGGCACACAGACGCTTCGTGGGCAGACGACGCCGAAACCCTTAGGTCCTCGCATGGCTACTGCTTTAGCCTTGGTTCAGGTGCTGTCTCGTGGCGAGCTACTCGCGCCTCGTCTGTTGCCCAGTCCAGTTGTGAGGCCGAGGTCTACGCTGGTGCCATGGCGGCACAGGAGCTTCATTGGCTGACCTTCTTGCTCACCGACTTAGGTGAGCGACCTAGCTCTGCCCCAGTCCTGTATGCTGACAACAGGGTCATGATCCTTCTGTGTCAAGAGCCTCGATTTGAGGGCAGAGCGAATCACATCCAGTTGTGGTACTTCCTCCTGCACGAGCTGCAGCAGCTTCGCCAGGCTCGCGTAGTACGCTTGACCTCCGGTGCCAACACAGCTGATATCTTTACGAAGGCGCTTGCGCCTAAAGGTCATCAGCGGCACTGTGTGCAGCTAGGTCTTGTTCCTGTTGCCTCTCACTTGCTAGGGCCTTGATTGTGTATAGACCTATATATATGTGTTAAACCTGACCTAACCTGATACCATATTCGAATGAGAATGAATGACTCGAATGATGCAAACATGTTGGTTGTGTCCAAGGAGTTGTACTGTCTAAGAGTACACACATATCTAGCGTATAATATATTGACAAAATATGTTTGAAACCTCCTTCCAAAATTCTTGGAGTTTACACTACGGGAATATGACATGTATGACCCCTGTATCTCCTTGTACTTCTCATTTTGTAAGAGATGGGACAGCAAATGCTGTAGCTGAGTGTCAGGTGTGTACGTCTAGTCTTGGTTATAGGGTGAGGCTTATAGGGGAATAGCTGAACAAAGTCAGGGTGTGTTGCTTGGTTTGAAAGATCCACCAAGTTATGGATGTCCTTATTGCATGTTGAGGGTGTTGTGGATAATTCAAGGAATGTAATATAAGGCCGTTATTGGTACACTGCCTTCTTGTAAGGAGGGCTCCCAGCGAAGCAAATGAGATCTGCGGGGCAGTGAATGAGTGGAGGAGGAAGGCGAAGAGATCCAGGGCCAAGGCAGCACTCGGGGCAGGGTGCCACAGGTCGCGCTTCGCTCACCTGTCTGTGCAGCAAAGAGCCAGGGGCGGGGCTCTCGCTTGCTTCGCTTCGCACCGCAGCTTCGATGGAAGTTGGGCTCGTGTCGTTTTTTGTTGGCTGCCAACGGAAGTCCATTGGCCACCAACATTTTATTCGAGGGGCCCGACGTGCTGCCCGGAACATTTTCACCCACCAACATTGCTTTGTTACAGTGCACACCACCAATTTAACTCCCCAAATCCTCCGGGCCCAACAGCTACATAAAATGGGAAAATGGAAAAAAAGGTACAACTTTCACAATCGCACGAGTACTCTCAAGAACTACACACCCTGTTTGGTTACTGTACCGTACACCCGCCAGGACCGAACCAAAATCCCCAAGCACGGCAATTCCGAGGAAATCTACGGTGGAGAGATGCAATTCACCAATCGCTGTTGATTTTGTTTGGTCGATGGCCGCTCGTCTCCTACAGCTGTAAGCTAGTTGTTGCTGACTCCTGCGTAGGTCGCTCCTCCGCTCATAATTATTATTCATGGCGAACAAACGAAGCCTGTAGGCACGTCTGGGTTTCGCTCGCTCGCATTATCGACATGGAGTGCCTTCACGCGACGTGACTGCAACTAGCAGTTGTATATGCGACCAGCAGTTGCTCTTCAAAGGTTGTCCTAGTCTCACTGAATTCGTTTCTTTCCTTGCTTCCCCGCATGTAGAAATTATCCTCGCCGACCACACTTCCTGCTTCGCACGTGCAAGGCTTCCTCTGACTCCAAGAATTGCCGTTTTGCTCCCGCGTTGCCGTCTCGTTCCCGATGTTAGCGGCGTTAAGCCGCGATCGACCCAACGTCGACATGGTACCCCGGGCTGGCGATCAGCGTCGCACGGACGACGACTGTGCGACGCCGCTGTGGCTGCTGGAGGTGTCGCCGGACCACGAGAGCAGTCGCAGCACGCTCAGCGTCGCCCTGGCTGACGTGGACAGATTCCAGCGAGCCAATGACGGCGAGACGCCTGTCATCGTGCTCGTTTCCGTCGTTATCGATACAGACGGATCCAAACGTGAGCGGGCCATTCCGCACTATTAGAATTTCTCTTTTAGAATTTCTCTTTTAGAATGTCTCTCCTTCTTACGCCATGGTTTCAGCCTTCTCTGCGTGAGTCTCCGTCCTTCTTTCAGAATGGAACCGTTGCTGTGCTCCGCAACTCCAGCTTTCTGTGAAGCCTAGGGTTTGTCTTGCAACCTACGCCTCCCCATCCCATTCTTGACTCTTATTTCCGCATCGGCTTGCTACTATCGGTACCGGTTCTCTGTGGGGTCGACTCATTGTTTCCTGCCTCCCACACCCCTCGCTTCTCCTCGCTTCCTTCCGCCATCCCGTCCCGTCCGCCGTCCCTGCTGACCGTCCCCTCCAATTCCCCTCGGCAGCGGCATCGGCGCGCAAGGAGCGATCGCGGCACGGCGCGACGGAAGATTTGATTCTGCGCAGCGTGATGCGGCCGATGCAGGCCATCGCAGAGAGCAGAAAGGTGAGCGCGCGAGCGAGACGAGTTAGGGCCGGGGGTCGGGGGAAGTGTGCTGATAGCTGCTGTAGTAGTAGCGTGCGCGACGGAGGACCTGAGTCTGCGCAGCGGCATGCGGCCCATGCAGGCCATCGCAGAGAGCAGAAAGGTGAGCGCGGTGTGGTTGTGACACGCGGAAGGGAGTGATAGCAGCAGTAATCGGGGGATAGGGCTCGATTCTGCGCAGCGTATTTCTGCCGATGCAGGTTATTTTTGAGTCGACTCAAAAGTCACCTACAGGTTATTGCGGAGAGCAGAAAGGTGAGCGCGGGAGTCGTACAATCGGGAAGGCGGAAGGGGGAGGGGGAGAAAGGGGAGAAGGGGGGGGGAAGGATGCGAGAAGGGGGGGAGGGGGTGCGTAGGGAGGGGGGCGTTTATAGAATAGTTTTGAGGCGCCTCAAAGCGAGGCTCCTGTCTTGCGTCATGGAATTCTGCTTCTGTGGAGTTATGCGGCCGATGCAGGCAATTTCGGTGAGCAGAAAGGTTAGCGCGGGAGACAGGTGACTTGGGGCTGAGGGGGGAAGGAGGAGGGGGGGGTTGGGTTGTGAGGGGGGTTTGGATGGCGTGGGTTGGGGTTGATGGTAGTAGTATTATTCATGCGTCAGAGAAGACTTGATTCTGTGCAGCGTGATGTGGCCGATGCAGGCCATTGCAGAGAGCAGGAAGGCGAGCGCGCGAGACAGGCGAACTGGGAGAAAGGGGGGGAACGGGGGAGGGGGGATGGGGCTTTTAGGGGGTACAACCGTAGTAGATCACGCGTCACAAGAGATCTGATCCGAACGCAATCGCAGCCATCCTTTCTTTCAAACGAAACTTCCTTCTTCAAACGGTGATATTAAGTAACCCCAACGGCCCTGCATGATTGTGCGTGTAAAGGCGCACATAGAGCGGCGCTGCGGGTCAGCTGGCGAAGCTAATGGTGACGTCATTCAGCGCTGCTCAAGTCACTCATTGCCTTTTTATCCCCTCCCCACCCCCCCCTTCCCCTCCCCCCCCCCCCCTTCCCCCCTCCCCCCTTTCCCACCCCACCGACCTCCCCCTCCAGGTCGTACTTCCCCAAGGTAGCAGCAGAGGCGCACGTGGAGCCAAGGTTGAAAAAAACGGCAGGCCGTTTTTTTCGTTCGTTTTTTTCGGTCGTTTGAAACGGTTTTTTTTAATACAAAAACGCCGTTTTTTTAATAAAGTTTTTTTTTCCAAAATTCAAAAAAAAAAAAAAAAAAAAAAAAAACCAGGGACAGAAGGGGACAAAATAGACGACTATTGGTGGCTATGGCATGCATAGTAGGGGTCCTAACTGAACTAAATAGGCCCGCCAAAGCTCGAATCTGCCGCATATTCCTCCTACTACTTATTTCCCCCCTACACTACCTCCTACCCATCCTCCTCCTCATCCACCTACCCCTCCTCCTACCCCTCCTCCTCCTCCTCCTACACATCGTCCTCCTCCTCTTCCTCGTCCTCCTCCTCCTCCTCGTCCTCGTCCTCCTCGTCCTCCTCGTCCTCCTCGTCCTCCTCGTCCTCCTCGTCCTCCTCGTCGTCCTCCTCCTCCTCCTCCTCCTCCTCCTCCTCCTCCTCCTCCTCCTCCTCCTCCTCCTCCTCCTCCTCCTCCTCCTCCTCCTCCTCCTCCTCCTCCTCCTCCTCCTCCTCCCCCGAATCCTCCTTGTCCTCCTCCTCGGCCTCCTCCTCCTCTTCCTTCTCTTCCTCCTCGTCGTCCTCCTCCTCCTCCGCCGACCCCCCCCCAACCCCTCCTGAACATTCGCGGACGGTTGGGTGTACACCCAACCGTCCGAATTCGGTATCAAATTCGAAGTGCTGCTGTACACCCACGGTTTTAAAAATTCGACCATATAAAACGACCGTTTTTTTCAACAACAAAAAAAGCTAACTTTCAGAACCGTTTTAAACCGTTTAAGACGACTGAAAAATACGGTACCGTAGCAAACGGTCTAAATCTGAAAAAAACGCCGTTTTTTTAAACCTAGCGTGGAGCACAGTGAGTCGCGGGAGGCGGAGGCGGTCTGTGCACGGCCCTGCTACACGCCCCTCCCTCCCTTCCTCAGCCCTGCTGGCCTTCTTTCCCTCCCATCCCTCTCCGCCCCCCCGCGCCACCCCCTTCCCAGGAAGCACCAGAGGCTCACCTGCAGCACAGTGAGTGGCGGGACGAGGCTGCTTGAGGCGTCTCATCTTTTGAGTCGACTCAAAGGCTGCTTGAGACGTCTCATCTTTTGAGTGGCGGGGCGAGGCTGCTTGAGGCGTCTCATCATTGCCTTGCCTCCCTGCACTGCGCTCCGCCACCCACCCCTTCCCGCCTCCTCTCCCCCCCCATCACTCCCTCCCCCTCCTTCCCCCCCTTCCCTCATCCTCTCTCCCCCCCCTTCCCTCATCCTCTCTCCCCCCCCTTCCCTCATCCTCTCTCCCCCCCCTTCCCTCATCCTCTCTCCCCCATCACTCCCTTCCCCACTTCCCTCCCCTTCCCCCCCAGGTGGCAGCGGAGGCGCACATGGAGCACAGTGAGTCGCGGGAGGCGGGTCTCTGCGCGGCAGTGGCGTGCTTGCAGGCACAGCGGCTTTATATCGGCGTCAAGAGGTGAGAGAGGGTGGTCAAAAGGTGAGAGAGGGTGGTCAAGAGGTGAGAGAGGGTGGTCAAGAGGTGAGAGAGGGTGGTCAAGAGGTGAAAGAGGGCGGTCAAGCGGTGAGGGAGCGTGGCCAAGAGGTGAAAGAGGGCGGTCAAGCGGTGAGGGAGGGTGGCCAAGAGGTGAAAGAGGGTGGGTATCACACACCTTACAACGGGTCTGTGTGCAGGCGCCGATCCCAGTGGCGTGTCTGCAGGTGCAGAGGCTGTACATTGGGGTCAAGAGGTGAGAGAGGGGGCAGCTTAACGTTTAGAGGTGGGAGGAGGGGCAGCTTAACGTCAAGGAATGAAAGGAGGGGCAGCTTAACGTCAAAAGATGAAAGGAGGGGCAGCTTAACGTCAAAATATGAGAGGAGGGGCAGCTTGAAAAGAAGAGGTGAGGGAAGAAGGCGGTAGTCAACTTGAGCTTGCCCATCATCTTGTGAAACAGACAGCCGTCTTAGAATGGTAGACGGTGACGCGCCTTTGCTCCAGGCAACGTGCCTGCCCGCCCTTGCCTCTGCATACTGAATACTGCCCCTTCGCCTACTCTTGCTCTTGCCCTATTGTCTTGCTACATGACACCTTTGTCTCGTCTTGTCTCTCGTTCTCTCTCCTCTCAATCCCCTCCCCCCTACCCCTCTCCTCCCCCCCACCCGCCCTCTCCTGCCCCCCTCTTCCCCCACCCCCCCCCCCTTCCTCTCTTCTGCACGATCTCTCCCCCTCTTCCTCTCCTTCCAGGAAGCTTCTGTGGGGAGGAGACTCGTCCGTGGTTCATTTCTGCGAGGCGCATCTGCCAGAGGGCTGCCACCTCGTGCTCACACAGGCCGGCAGGCGAGTCAAGGAGCTTATAGCGGGTACAGGCCACTCCAGCAGCCACGGCAGTGCTAGCTTTGGCAGTGGTGGTGGAAGTGGTGCGGGAGTTGCTGCTGCTGGTGGGCGTCGAAGATCGGATGAATACCTTGACAAACGGCAGCAGCAGCAGCAGCAGCAGAAGCAGCAGCAGCTGTTGGAAGCACATTCGCCAGAGGAGGAGGAGGACGAGTCGGAGATGGAGCTGAAGCGCAGCATCAGCGTGGGCAACGAGCTCAGGAACCGCAGGATGCGACCCACCATGCACAGCAGCAGCAGCATTGGTGGCGGCGGGGGCAGCGGCAGTGCAGAAAGAAGTGGGGGAAGAGCAGGGGGAGGGGGGGGAGGGGGGGGAGTGGTGGTGCGATGGGTGTCACTCGGCACATGAGGAGCAGGAGCATCGGAGGTATGTTTCCCCTCAGCGGCAGCAGCAGCACGGGCAGCCCTGGGAACAGCAGCAGCGGCGGGGGTGGTGCTGCTGGTGCTGGTAGCGGTGGTGGCAGCGGGTACGGTGGTGGTGGTGGCGGTAGTATGGGTCGTGTTTTTCGGCGCATGTCACGCAAGCACAGCAGCAGCTTTTCCGAATCAGAAGATGAAACCCTACCCGACCAACCCTGCCCTGTCCGAACCAGCAGCGGAGGCTCGGACCACCGCCGACTTCCCTACCACCTCAACCTCCTAGGTCCAGGAAGGCGTGTAGCTTCGGTCGCAGGCTCGGCGTCCGGACCAGCCGAAGACTCCGACGACCCGAACCACACCAGAGGCTCCAAACCTCCTCCCAGACCTCCCCGAGGCTCGGGACGAGGCTCGGAAATGGAGGAAGCGGAGTATGAAGGGGAGCATGGGGAGGATGGGGAGTTGCCCTCTCCCGGGCTTGTCATGCGCTCCCGAACCACCCCTTGCCGAAGATCCTCGGGGGCGGGAGGCGAGCTGGAAGGAGCGGCAGCAGCAGGCGGAACTTGGAGTGCTGCTGCTGGCAGCGGTGGAAGCCATGGCATGGGCGGCCCTCCTCCCGCCTCGCCTACCCTCTGCTCTTCCTCCTCCTTGTCCGCACCCAGACGATCTATCTCTCGCACACTCAGCAGGGAGCGCAGGCAGCAGGCAGCAGCAGTGGCAGGAGCAGGAGCAGCGGTAACCGGCACTGGAGGGTTTCAGCTCACCGCTGCTGCCGCCGCTGTTTCAGGGCTTGCTGCCCCTCCTCCCCCTCCCTCCTCCCTCCCCTTCCACTTCTCAAGTCTCATAATCCCCCCGCACCCCTCCTCCGGGTCCGGTGTTCTTATAACGGAAGATGCTTATAATGATGGTGATAGCGATAGTAGTGAGCCGAGGCCGGGGACGCCCAGGGGAGAGACGGAGAAAGAGGCTCGGCAGCTCGGGTCGTCTAGGCTCGGCCCGAACCTGCCGGGCGGTTTTGGTCCGAGCCAGGGGATGGAGGCTCGTCAGGGGGGAAGGGGCAGGCACAGCAGGCACATGTCGTGGGCTGGCCCGGATGTCATGGGGGGAGGAGGTGGGGGTGGAGGTGGGAGGTTTAGACTGTCGCCTGGGGAAGCGGCTGGTCGTGAGGGCGGTATTCCTAGGCAAGGGAACAGTGCTTTTGGTGCTGGTGGTGATTCCAAGTCCCCCAGAAGCCTCATACCCCCAGGCCTACCGTCTCCTGCTTCTGCTGCTCCTGCTGTGGCTCACCACCCTTCCTTCTCCTCCTCGTCTCGTCCCAATATAGCCGAGCAGGTAGTGGCACTGGCAGGGCAGTGGGAAATGTTTTCAAACAGGGCGGGAGAACAGGGAGGAGAGGGGGCAGCAGGGGGAATGGCAGGAGCAGGTAATTCTGGGGCAGGTGGAGCTGCCAGGCTGGCTCAGGCTCCCCGCCGCACTGTGCCAAAACATTTCCGGGCAGGTAGCTGGGACCCGGGCAGGTTGAGCTTGAGTGATGAAGACTCGTTTCCGGAGAATGTGCGAGGAGGGGGAGGAATGGCAGGGGCAGGGAAAGGGGCAGCAGGAAAAAGGGGAGGGGGAGGAGGGGGAGGTAGCAGGACCCCCCCTTGCCACCGGAAGGTTCAGCAGCGGGAGGGAAAGGTGGAGGAAGCTTCCGTAAGGGCATGCTGCGAAGGAAGGGGAGTGGGGAGGGGATTGGCGGGTGGATTGGAGGAGGGGGCGGAGGAGGGGGAGTGGGAGGAGGAGAGGGGGGAGGGAGAGGAGGAGGTTATGGGAGAGGGACGGATGATGGTGCTGATGCGGATGCTTATGTGGATGACGTGGGCAGCATGGGAGGGGCGGCTCCCTTGCGCCGTGCTCTCTCCTCTTCCTCCCCGGGCCTGAGTACGAGCCTGCTGGGCCTGCCAGGTTCGGCGTTCGAACGAATCAGCGGCACCGAGGCTCGGCACAGGCTGCCCAAGATGCCCTCCAGCAACGGCAGGCTCGGCGAGGAGGCTCGGCCGGGCCTGCTGGAGGTGGGGCGGGGAGGGGGGGGGCTGGTGCGGGATTGGATTCAGGGGGATGGGGCAGCAGGGGGAAAGGGAGAGGTGGGAGTGAGGAGGCCGGAAACAAGCGGAGGAGAGAGGAGGGGCCGAGGCCTGCTTGGCAGTGGTGACATTGTTGCAAGGCCAAAGAGGGGGGAGGAAGGTGGAGGAGGGGGAGCAGTGGGAGGACAGGGCGGAGTGGGAGGCGGGGGAGGAGGGGAAGCGGGAGAGGGGAGCATGAGCGGTGGCAGCAGCAGCGGCAGTGGGCTGGACATGGACATGCTGCTGGGGGAGCTGCAGCAGCTGAGGCAAGAGGCCCTCGCGAAACAGGCAGCGGCCCAAGCTCAGTTCTGCAAGGTATGTGCCGTGCTGTGCGGTGCCATGCTGTGCGGTGCCATGCTGTGCGGTGCCATGCTGTGGGTGCATGCCATCCTGCTTCCTCTTTCTCCCCCCTCCCTCCCATCTTCCACCAAAAAAACTCCTTTTTCAAAGTACTCCTCTTTCACACTCCCCTGTCTCCTACTCTTCCTCCCCCCCCCCGTCTACCCCACACCCCCTCCCATCAGGACGAGGTGGGCAGCAACCGTCACTCGTCCAGGTCTACATCGTTTTAGCCGACTCAAAATCACCTCTCTCTTCCTCCCCCTCTCCCCCTCTCCCACTCTCCCGCTCTCCCTCTTTCCACTCTCTTTCCCCATGCCCCTTACCATACCAGCCGGACTAGTAGGATGCTAGCAGCCCTCAATCCACCATTGTGAGTCGTCACTCGACTGAGAATTCACCTGCCTCTCCCGCCCCCTCTCCCGCCCCCTCTCCCGCCCCCTCTCCCCACCGCTTTGTCTCCCTGCGCCCCGTCCCTACTACTCCCCACACTCCGCCCCATCAGGACGGGGAGTCCAGCAACCCCCTCTCCACCAGTTCAGACCTCTACCCTGGCGGCAACTGCGCCCCTAATTCCGGCCACAGCCACAGCCACAGCCGCAGTAACAGTCACGGCAACAGCAAGAATACCAGTGAGACCATCAGCCGCAACGCCACAGGCTTGGGCAGCCGTCCTCTCTCGTCGGGCAGCCAAAACAACGCAAGCAGCGGCAGCGGCGACGACGCAGGCAGCAACATGCTTCGCAGCGCACTGGCAGCAGAAGGAGATCTGACCGACCTCAGCGACTTCACTCACCTCCATGGGCGCCCTGGCCCCATGGGTCATGCTGTGGTCAATTCCAGTAGGAAGAATGGGAGTGGGAGTGGAGGGCGAGGGTACGAGGAGGTGTGGGATGATGAAGACGGGGGCAGTGAGGAGCAGGAGGAGGAGGGGAAGAGGAGGGGGGAGGGAGAAGGGGGCGGGGATTTGTACCCGGGCGTGGGAGGAGGAGGAGGAGGAGTGCACGGCGATGGTGGGAGTTCCAATGCTACCCCGCCTGCCGTCAGCAATGAGGTATGTCCAGTCCAGTCCAGTCCGGTCCAGTCCAGTCCGGCCCAGTTCAAGCCCCCCCCCAGCCCCCCCCCAGCCCCCAGTCCTCTACTCCAGCCGATTGCAGGCGACAATGCTGATAGCAGCACCAGCCACTCCACCTCCTCCTTTGACTCTACAGAGTTCGTCTGCAAGGTCACAGAGAGAGCCAAACTGTTAATCTTCCTCCACTTACCCACTCCCCATCCAACCCCCGCTTCCCTCCCCTCCCCTCCAACCCTCTACTCCAGCCCATTGCCGGCGATATCGATGGTGATGATGATGATGCCTCCAGCACTTCACCTCCTCCTTTGACTCTACAGAGTTTGTCCGCAAGGTCACTGGGAGAGCCAGGCTTGCAGCCCCCTCCACCCACTCCCCATCCAACCTCCCCCCCCCATTCCCACCCCTATCCCCTCTCGCAGCCTGTTGCAGGCAATGATGACGATGATGCTGTCAGCTCCTCCTCCACCTCCTCTTTCGACTCTACGGAGTTCGTCCGCAAGGTCACTGAGAGGGCCCGGCTGGCTGCCTCTGCTTCTGCCAACGCTGCCACTGCTGCTGCTGCTACCGCTGCCGCTGCGTGCAACGCAGTAGACGGGGTGGGTGGGGCATTAGAGCGGGGTGTTGTGGGTTGAGCATGGGGGCGGGCATGGGCATGGGCATTGGCGTGTGCGTTTTTTTTTTTGTGAGCATCTCTGCCCCCAAAATTGTACGATTTTTTAAAATTATTATTATTTATTTATGTCTAATGTTATCTACTTCCCATTTTCCCCTTTTCTTCTCCCCATCCCATCCCTTCCTCCCCTTCCTCCCCTTCCCTCCTCCCACAACCTTCCCTCACCCTCCCAGAACCACACTCCCACAGACCTCTCCCCCAACATCACTTCTTCCTCCTCCATCCATCCCCCCCCCAGCCACCACTCCTCCCTCCACGCCCTCTCACTCTCCGACTCCCTCGATCCCTCCTCTCACTCCTCCTCCTCGGACTGCCGCCGCTTCTCTCTCAACCAGCTCCTCCAATCAACCGACGGCTTTTCCAACCAGAACCTTCTCGGAAGGGGCGCGTACGGCCCGGTGTTTCGGGGCCAGCTATTCGGGTGCCTAGTAGCCATTAAGAAGCTCGAGCAGGGGAGCGACCAGGGTCCAGCGGAATTCAGAACTGAAGTGGAGGTTCTAAGCAAAGTGCGGCACCCGCACATTGTGCTCTTAATGGGTCACTGCCCCGAAGAAGCTTGTATCGTGTACGAATTCCTCCAGGGGGGGAATCTTCAGGAGAGGATAGTTCGAGCCGGAGACAACCCCCCTCCCCCCCTCCCCTGGCACGATCGCCTCCGAATCATATCGGAAATCTCGGGCGCGCTGCTCTACATGCACCGGCATGACCCGCCCATCCTCCACCGGGACTTAAAGCCCGACAACATCCTTTTGGATGGCAACGCCATTTCAAAAATCGCCGACGTGGGCCTCGCAAGGCTCATCCCCAACGAGGTCTCGGCAGTCACCTGGAAGGTGCGGGGCACCGCGGGGTACATCGACCCCGAGGAGATCCAAACCGGGGAGCTCTCAGTCAAATCCGACATCTACGCGTTTGGATTAATCGCCCTGCAGCTCCTTACCGGACTCAAGAACGTGAAGATGGTGCACGGGCTGCTGGCAGCATGTGGCACGGGGGCGCGGGACACAGAGCAAGCCACGGACATGGTGGTGAAGAGTCTGGATCGGTCGGCGGGGCGGTGGCCGGAGCGGCTGGCGAGACGGGCGACGCGGGTTCTAGTGCGGTGCATCGAGAGGAGAAGGGTGAACCGGCCGGACCTGGGGAGCGAGATCCACCCGCTGCTGTTGGAGATTGCGGAGGAGGCGATGGAGGAGCGAAATCGGAGGACCAAGGAGCTGGACGGCCGATTCGTGTGCCCTCTGTCACATGTGAGTGCCTCGTTTGGTGTGTCACACTCCCGAGGTCCACCTGCTGCTGTTGGAGATTGCAGAGGAGGCGATGGAGGAGAGGACAAGGCGGGCCCAGGAGCGGATGGCCGATTCGTGTGCCCGCTCTCGCATGTAAGTGCCTCTTGCTCTGTCACTCTCTCTCGCTCTCTCGTCTCTTGTGGGGTGTTTCAAGAGGTGCATCCGCTGCTGGGGTAGATTGCAGAGGAGGCAGTGGAGGAGAGGGCGAGGCAGGCCAAGGAGCTGGATGGCCGATTCGTGTGGCCACTCTCGCATGTAGGCGTCCCCCTTGCTCCCTCCCCCACTCGCCATCCCTCCCTTTCTTTCTTCCCTCAACCCTCTTGTTCTTTTTCACCCAGTGTCTCTCTTTCCTCTTCCCCATCCTGTATTCTTTTATCATTGATTATCTTGTCCTGCACTACCCACATGTGCAGGAGAAGATGAGGGATCCGGTGGTGGCGGCAGACGGGCATGTACGAGCGGGAGTACATCGAGACGTGGCTCGCAACATGCATGTGAATTTGTTCATGTCCCTCACTTTCCCTCCTCTCCCCTCCTCCCCCACCTCCCCCTCCCCCTCCTCCCTTTTTTCACACGTGCAGGAGAAGATGAGGGATCCGGTGGTGGCGGCAGACGGGCACACGTACGAGCGGGAGTACATCGAGACGTGGATCGCAACCAGCGGAGTGTCCCCCGTCACAGGGCAGCCCCTGGCGCACCGCGCCCTCACGCCCAACTTCATCCTCGCCTCGCTCATGGACTCCATGCGAAACCACATGTGAAATTACATGTCAAACCACATGTGACCCGCCAGTTTAACTACACTGAGAGTGACATGGGTACGTTGAGTGTCTGCTGTCACCAGACAGCCCCTGGCCCACCGGGCACCCCCAACCCTATTTCACCCTGACGCCATATTGTGCTGTTCCAAGGGGTACTGCACCAGGTAATTGACTAGACTTGACTGGACCGCCCCCCTGGGCTGGCCATGCACTCACCCCCCTTCATCCTTGCGTCACCCATGGATGCCATGTGATGCCATGTGATGGCTGCTCCAAGGGTTACTGCATGATGGAAAGGGTCTGGACAGCCCCCTGGCCACTGTACTCACACCCTACTCCGTCCTTGCCAGCTCATGGACTCCCATCCCATGTCATGTGATGCCATGCAGGGATGCAAGTTTGTGCTGTAGCCTGTACCAGATACTGCCATGTTTTGTAGGTGTTAATGTGTTTTGCCACGTTTCCGGTTTGAGCTGGATTGTAGCGAGCACAACTGCAGTTTGTCTCACTATTTCAAGCAATGCTTGCATGCTTGCTTAACATAAGATACAGAGAGCAGCTTGTTGCAGCAGTATACCTGCAAGGGAACAATTCCCCCCAGAGGATAAGGAGAGCAACGTTAGAACTTGGGAGTACTGCCCTACGTGGAGCTGGAAGGAGGTGAGCAGCTTCTGAGTCGACTCAAACGCTGAACAGCGAACACCTACCGTTCTAGATGAAAGAACCCCCCCCTTCTCCCGCTCAAAAAAAAGGGTAGAGATAATCAGGGACAGACGATGACAGACAGGGGGGAGATCAGGGAGGCCGAGAGAGGAAAAGGCTGAATGATGGTGACAATGACAGGGGAGGGGAACGGAACGGGGTCAGCTGGAAAAGGATGACCGATGGTAGCGCAAAGCACCCGCGATCAAGATCGACGGGATCGTTGGGAACATGAAAGGAATACTAGGAGAGGAACAGGGGAACGATGCGACGAAAGGAAATGCAGGTTCGAGCCAGAGATTGCCTCTCGACCGTTAGATCTGAAGGCGGTTCTGACATCTACGAGCCTGCGGGAGCATCAGGACGCCCATAGCTTGATGCCGCGCGACTCGCGAGCAATTTTGCTGCTAAAACGGATTAAGTACAAAAGGGTTCTTCTCAGCGATACAAGCAGGCTGTACTATCATACGCGATATAGTAAGATCCGCACTCGAAGGTGCTCAAGGAACGAGTCCGAAATTACAAATTACTCAAGACTTCGTCAGTGTCGTAACGGACTGTAAGTCCGGCGGCAATGCCGGCCGTCAATGTCCAGCCGGTTTGCTTCCGAGCTTCGACGCCATGCCGTCAACGAACAGGTAGACGGCGAACGCCGACACGGCAATCCCTAGGCCAGGGAGGCCGTGTCGCAGCTGGTTCTTCAGCAGCGGGTGGTGCCTGTACGCATCGTTGCGCCTGAAGAACTCGCCCGGTCCGCTCATCGTGCAGGCTGCGGTCAGAGGCGAGGGACGAAAAGACTACTGCTCAGTAGCAAGCCAGCTGCTGACACAATCACTACTTAGTCGCTAGACCAAGGAGTATGCCTGCTGATCAGAGCGTGAGACCTGGAGGAGGGGTGTCAGGGACAAAAACCTAACAACACGACGAAGTCGTGCGTCTCTGCGAAAACTTACGAAGAAACTTTGGGACTAGGCGAATTTACGCGAGACTGTTCCCCCTCACTCCCACTTCGAGCTGGGCTCGGTGGGCCAAAAGCATCAAGTTAGTACACCGTTGAATGAGACATTTCATATCAGATTAAATGAAATGGTGACTCGTTCACTGTGTGGTTTGAACTTGCTGCGGAGGAGCTCTATTGAAGCACAGGCCTTGTCTGGATGTGGAGCATTTTCTGGCGGCGCAGAAGCCTAGATGTGGAACATTTTCGTTTACTGTACACCTATGTTGCTGTAAACGAATGCAAATGCATGAACAAACGAAACGACGAGCCGCGCTGGCCTGGTGTATCACGTGGAACCAGGCCTCTCGCTAAGCCCCAGGGTATTCCGGAAGGGGACGGAATCGATTACCCGTTAACAGACGGAATTCCTAAAAAAAAAACCCGTTACCGAAAGGAATCGGCCGCTACAAATTCGGCTAGCAAGTGATCAAAGGCGGGGGGAAAGGGGGGGGGGGGGTTTGGTGGGGGCGAGGCTAAGTATATTTCCCCTACAGATTGCCCTGCTACAAGTATAGCCCGTACGGACTCGAAATAAAAAAGATACTTGTTAGGCTAAGGAATACCGCGAAATTGTTTCCGTAAGTTGGAAAACATTGCACTGTAAAAAACCGGAATCACTTGAAAAGTTACTCTTAATTTCTCGAAATTAAGGGTAATTATCTATTAGCAAGTGGCCTGGGTGGAACTCCAGGTTCCCATTGGCCCCCCCATAGGCACTATCTATGACGTGAGCTCATGTCGGCGAAACGGACATTTTGCAGCTGCAGGATTCAGGAACCAAAGGCTACTTCACCCACTTCATATGCTGCCCGACAAATGAATGCGTGGCTCCTTCCCACCCCTTTCAACATTCCTTACGCTGCCCGACAGTTGGCTCCGTTTCGCTTCGCCGAAGTTCAACCACCAAATTACAGCCCTAGGGGAGCCTTATTCGTCATTTCGAATCGCCCACAGACAGAAGCAGCAAAACGGGCGGCAGAAGCAGTGGAGCACAGCAGCGCCCCCTTTTGCCCAATGTCGCTCAAGCTTGTTTCATGTGATGCCACCATGGCTGCTAGGCTATGGAGCTATTTATTCCCTCGCGTGTGCATTTTCGCTCAGAAGAATCTCGTGCTGAGATTATTGGAAGCTTTTCTTTGCGTTCCCCCCTCTGAGATCCTCTAACGGCGCATTTCTTCTCCGTTTCACAGCTTGTGAAGCGCCACGGTGCTGCTTCTCCGTTTCACAGAGGAGTCCTTGCCATGGCTCGCCCAACCACGCCGCTTATCCTTCTTGCCGCCCTCTTCCTCCTCGTCGGTACGTGCGGCGCTCCTTCCGCTAGTTCCCTCTTTTTTTTTATTCGGGAACAGCCTGTATCTATCGGCTTTTCCGCGAAAGCAAGTTGGCCGAGTCACTTCTGCCTCTACGCTGGATGCCATGGCTTGACAACAATCGCTCTCTTGACTGATCTCCGTTGTTCCCTTCGGAAGCCGCAACCGACGCTTTCCCTCCGATTGCGTTAACTTCGCCCCGTTCCCGCCGAAACCTCCTCTGCCAGTTCGCGGCGTAGAGAGTGCTGTCATCTTGATCCCTTTGGGGACTTCTGCCCTTATTTCCTGTTTCGCTCTCCTGCCTTCTCCCCTCAATTTCCGTTGAATTTGCTTCTCATCTTCTTCATCCCCCCCCCCGTCTCGTGGTTCCCTCTTCCGTCCAATCTCTTCATCCGCCAAACTCTGCACTTTCACGCATCCGTCGCCGGTGTCTCTCCGCCGACCCGGTTTCTCCGCCGGTGTCTTTCCGTCCGTGTCGTTCGCGCTGCACGTCGCCCAATTTTCTCTCCGAGCGCACCTCAGGCGGCGCCGAGGCGCAGGTACTGCGGTAGACCCCAACCACAGTATCTGTGAAGGCTCGCACGTAAAGGCTCGCGGCTGAGAGTCGCTGACGGAACCGCAGGCTTGAACTATCTTCTCCATAGTGCCTATATGATACGCTATTTTCGCCAAGTCCCGCCTCTCTCCTGGACCATCTTGTCTCGCGACATGCAAACACTTGGCGTGCTCACGCGCGTGCTGATCTAATCAGTCGCACTCGCGAGCGTGCTGATCTAATCAGTCGTGTTCACGCGCGTTCTCGGCGGCTCAGTCGTGTAGGCTTGCATGAGTCTGTCTTCCCAAAGTCATTCGAACCCCCCATCCTCGCTGGGAGGTATATTTAGAAGGAGGCTCAAGGCTTGAGGTTTATTTCACCCACACCCTGCTCTCCTGCGTACTCTTCTCCCCTTCCGTCGCCCTCCCCCCGCCCTCCTCACAGAAAATGGTGTGGGTGGGCGGCGGCAACGGCAACAGGTGGATCTCCCCGTGGGGCTACGGGCTCCAGAACTGGAAGGCGCCTAAAGTCCTGCCTGGCGACCTGCTAGGTGCGTGTCGCCATTGAAACGCCTCAGTGCGGTGAGTGACGGTGATGTGGGTGTGGGTGGGGGGCGACTATGGCAACAGTCGGTTGTCCCCGTGGGGCTATGGGCTCCAGAACTGGAAGGCGCCGAAAGTCCTGCCTGGCGACCTGCTACGTGCGTGCCCGTGCTAACTGCTTCACACCGTATTGCATCTTGGTGCACCGCATGCTTGGTGCCATGTTGGCCTTTTGTGTCGACCCAGAATTCACCAGTTTGCAGTGTGTAGCGCCGCAAGCAGGTGCCCGTGCCCTACCATGTTACAGCACGCCAGCCTTGGGTACAGTGAGTGGGGAAGTGAGTAGCTTGCAGCATGGGGGACTTAGAAATGCCTAATTCACGTTCCAGCTCTCCTGCGTGCAGGACCTCAAACCCCCCCTCCCCCCCCCTCCTCCTCTCTCTCTCTTGCATTCACTGCAAGGAGCTGCACTCTTACAGTACCCTGATATTTCTCGCTCTCTATCTTCCCGCCTGAATCCAACCTGCCTACCTGCCGTGTTCCAGTGGGTCGACGAGTGGCACTCAGTGCATGAAGTAGGCGTTGCAGACTACAGTGCACTTCGGGTGCATGGGTAGCTGTATTGTAACTCCCTGTTCTCTGCCCCATACATGCCCTCCCACCCTGCCACCCTGCCCCTGCCTGCAGTGTTCCAGTGGGTCAACGAGTGGCACTCAGTGCATAAAGTGGATGTCGCGGACTACTCTGCATGCACGTTCCTTAACGCTAAACAATTGGCGCGCGGTCGAAACTATGGCTATTATATGTATAGGGTGCCTGGCCAAGACTATGGCAAAACCATCTACTTCAGCAGTAATGTGGGCGATGATTGCAGCAACGGGGTCAAGGTGTCATTCAATGTGGGCTAATTAACAATGTATGTTCTCATTATCGATGTATAGGTAAAATAGTGATGTAAAGCATATTGTAACATTGTGGTAAAAGCTTCTCTCATTTGTAAGAGTTCTTCTGAAAAGACGTGTACTTCACAAGAATATTCTATGTGCGTTAGCAATGATCTGCCGACTGCAGACACACCCCCATTGGGAGCTCCATTACGCTTCCCCGCCTTCAAATTCAGTACCCCTCGTTAGAGGCACGGCATGGCATGTAGTCATTGTCAGGAGTGTAGTTGCTCTCACATCGCATACCGCGCTGCCATGCCAGTACCTAGCAACCATGAAGTGCCATCGCCTCCTAGACTTCTTGTCCTAGAAACTGCCATCCTTTTTTGTGTGCAAGCAGCTCTAGAGCAGTCGAGCTATCGATCCGGTGTGATGCTTCAAATGCTCGGCAGTTGAAGCATCTCAACAGGGAAGACCTGTTTCGAGTGAAACAGTAAGATACTGATGGTGAGTCGACAGGGAAGACCTTGAAGCGTCTCGTGCCCCACGTTACGAGTGAAGAATAGTACACTACACTTCTAAATCGACTTAAAAGCGTCTCGTGCTCTACGGTACGAGTTAACAACAGTACACTTTAGAGTCGACGGGGAAGAGGACGTTGAAGCGTCTCGTGCTCCACGGCACTACTACCGAGTCTTAGACTATCAATTCACGGTCTTGCCTCGAGATTGGTAACATGGCCGGCGGGAATCGGCGAAATTTAGCGACGGACGTGATATGCTTAGACGACGACGACGACGACGATACCGAGGATGGCAATAACGCGGATGAGATCGACGTGGCGGAACGGCGTGGTGGCGTGAAGGACACGCGACAGACGAGGAGGGAGGAGAAGCCGCCGGGAAAGAGAACGGCGAAACGAGTGCCAGGACCGTCGGATAAGGGGAAGGGGAAGGGTAAGGTAGAGGAGGAGGTGGAGGAGGAGGGGGAGGAGGAAGAGGGGGATGAGGCGGATGAGGAGGAGTGTGAGGAGGTACCCAAGACGGGAGTCACTAAGAGCGGTCGGGATGTGTGGACTTGCAATGGCGTGGGGGGGAATGCGAAGCAAGGAACGAAGCGGGAACGGGAGGTCGGCGGTAAGAGGGACATGGATCGAATAATTGGCCTTTGTTCTTTGAGAATGCGTTGGGCTCGAAGGACAAGCTTTTCAAGACACCTGGTCTGGGATTGGTCTGGTTTGGTGTGCGTGTGCAATATCCGTTCTTGTCGAATTTGTGTATTTTCGACTGTTTAGCGTCTCTTGCTGCTTTTTGGTAGCTGCTTGCATCCTTGCTTCCCCGTTTTTGAACTCTTGTATCCCTACCAAGTTACCAACCATTCTCAATAGAAATCCTTCTCCCCCCCCTCTCACCCCCTTCTCGCCCATCCCTCTTGCCCCCCCTTCTCGCCCACCCCTCTCCCTTCACCCACTCTTCAGGCCAAGGTGAACCTTCAAGGCAGCTTCCGCCAGCATCTGGCTTCCAATCCCAGCGCATTCGCGCTGCTCTGCAATCCAGGTGTGAGTCCTTAGGCAGACCGACGGCGGCAAGTCACGTCCCTTCGGCCCTCCACGCGTCCGCCCTGCTTCCTCGTTACAAACCGCCTCTCCGTGATGGTGTCAACAGCAACACAAGGCAACGTGCTGCTGCTGCTGCTGCTGCTGCTGCTGCTGCTGCTGCTGCTGCTGCTGCTGCTGCTACTGCTGCTGGTGGCGGTGGTGCTGGTGGCAGTGGTGCTGCCGATGATGCTAGGAGTGGCCGTGAGCCATTTGCTAGGTTTCAGAAGGGTGGTGTTGCTGCTGCTGGTGGTGGTGCCAAGAGCAATGGTGCTGCTGCTGCTGCTGCTGCTGCTGCTGCTGCTGCTGCCTCTTCCCCTCCCGGAGATCAGAGGGAGCCACACAAGCTCAGGCCCGTTCATTCGGACGCTGGTATGCTGCAGCGCGATCTGAGCCGTCGGTCTGCTGGCGCTGCTCGCGACCGCGCAAGCGGCGGGGAGGATATCGACGACCTGTGGCGGGGCTTGGTGGGCGATGTTCCCGCTCCTTCCGGCGGTGGTAGAATTGCCGTGGCTGATAGAAACGCCACGGGCAGAGGTGTTACTGTGAGACGGGATAGAGGTGGAGGGGAGAGAGGTAGAGGTGATATTGATGACAGAGGTGCCCCTGACAGGGGTGGCAGGGGTGGATGGGGTGGGTTGAGGCATGCTGCTGAGAGCACGGGGCCTCCAGCAGCAGCACGAAGGTCTTCAGCTGTGGGCGAGGCAAGAGGGAGAGAGGCCCAGGGGAGGGGGATTCGGGGGGGGCTCGAGGGGGTTCTTAGAGAAGAGTGTCTTGGCCAGAGAGATTATGCGGGGATGCAGAACGGTGTTGAGGGGTTAGTGGAGGATGTATTGGAGATGGGGGCGTATGGGTTCAGGGAAAGGGGCGCTGAAGGGAGTGGAGAATGGAACGCTGAAGGCAGTACAGGAAGGGGTGGAAGAGGGTTTGGTAGGAGAGGGGGTACGGTGAGAGGGGGTACTGGGAGAGCGGTTGCGGTGAGAGGGGGTATGGTAAGAGGAGGCGGTGGGAGAGAGGGCAGTGGGCGAAATTCCTGTCCCAGCGAAGGAGAGGGGAATGGCGTGCAGGTGGCGAGCAGGCGTGGTGTGAGCGGGCGGGTTCAGTCAGGGGGGCTGCTGGGGCTCTTTGGGGTGTCAGAGGTGGTGCCCTCGTCCAGCGCTGAGGAGTCCGAGTCCGAGGGAGGGAGTGACTCGGATGGAGGCAAGGAGGCGGGTGAGGCGGGTGAGGGGGATGAGGAGGGGGATGAGGTGGTGGAGGTGGAGGGAGTGAGAGAGGAGCAGGAAGAGGAGGGTAAGGAAGAAGAGGAAGAGGGCGAGGAAGAGGAGGAGGAGGAGGAAGTGGAGGAGGTTGAGGAGGATGAAGGGGTTGGGAGCGGTGGTGGAGGCGACAAGGGTGGAATGAATCGGGAGAGGAAGGAGGGAAGGGGAGGAGGGAGAGCGGTGGAAAGGGAGGAAGGGAAGGGGGAGTGCAGAAACAAGGAGCGGGGCGGTTACACAGCCCAGGAGGCCCAGAGGGACTGGGGAGACTGGAACCAGATGCGGCCGCTGCAGCCTCAGCACAAGGAGCAGGTGCGGCTGGAGGAAGTACGGGAGGAGGGATTGCAAGAGCAACGCAGGCAAGACAAGCAGCAGCAGCGGCAGCAGCAGCGGCAGGCGCCGCAACGGCATAAGCAGCAGCAGAAGCAGGCAAACCCCATGCAGCAGGCATGGGCTGCACTTAACCGTACAGCTGCTCCTGGCACCACCGCTGAGGCTATGAAGCAGTTCCGGAACAGGAAGCAACAGAGCGCCGCACTCCCTGCTGTGCCCTCCTCATCCCTCTCCACCCCTGTGTCTTCTCCTGCTGCTGCGCCTGCTCGCTCTGCTGCGCCCCCTGGTTCCACTACCAGTACGCCTGTAAAAGGCTCTTGCAATACTATCTCCCTCTCTCCTGCCTCCCCTGCCTCTCCTGCTGCCCCTGCTGCTCCTGCTGTGCCTTCTCCCCTTGCTGCTCCTCCTGCTGCTGGCCCAAGGGCTGCTTCCCCGCCTCCTCCTCCTCCTCCCCCTCCAGTGCAGTACCGCAGAAGAGCAGCGGGGCTTGTAGCAGATGAGCCAAATGAGCAGTCTGCTGCACCCACGGCTGCTGCCACCCCGCCTCCAGCACAGAACCGCAGGAGGGCAGCGGGGCTGTTAGCAGCTGCGCAGAGGAAGTGGCTGGCGGAATGCCGGGAGCGGTTTGCGGCGTTTGTGTTCCCGCCCACAGGCACGGACAGTGTGACGGTGCGGTGGGAGGACGTGGAGCGGCTGAGACCAGAGGAGTTCCTCAACGACACACTCATCGACTTCCACCTCAAGTGAGTGGGAATTTGATATGAACCGAACATTTGAACCTTGACATTGGATTTAGGGTTCATTTCAAAACGCACCAAACGGAGGGCAGTTGAGGCCGTTTGTGTCCGTGTGGCCAGAGGAGTTCCTCAACGACACACTCATCGACTTCCACCTCAAGTGAGTGACCGTACTGTGTGAATAGATTTTGGCTTGGACCTTGAAATACAGTTTTCACACTGCACCGAGGGCAGTACAGGCGGGTTGTCAGTGTTACGGTGAGATGGGAGTGCTGCACTGTGGGAATGTATTATGTTTTTGTAGGTTCATTTCAAAATGCATTGAACGGAGAGCGATTCAGGCTGGTTGTGTCCGTGTGACGAAGAGGAGAGATGGGAGATGGGAGATGGGAGATGGGAGATAGATGGGAGATGGGAGATAGATGGGAGATGGGAGATGAGAGATGGGAGATGGGAGATGGGGAGGACATGGAGAGCGACTGAGGGCAGAGGAGGTTGTCAACGACACGCTCATCGAATTCCGCGGTCCTCCTCAAGTGAGTGAGTGAATTACACTTCTTTCTTCAAATCTTCCTTTTCGAGTTCCTCAACAACACCTTTTCTTGAGGCGCCTCAAAGTCCACTCAACAACACGGCACGCTCTTCGACTTCCACCTCAAGTGAGAGAGGTAGCATGACACGCGTCCGTTATCACTTTTTTTTTTTCTTTTTTTTTCTTTTGCTCCCTCTCTCATCCGCACCCTGTCCCCTGTCATCTGAAGCTGCAGTTTGTTGATGGTGGCTGGATCACGATTCACGCGCGCGCCGGCTGGTAGTGAGACCACTTTTAAGTCGACTCAAAAGCATCGTGTGCACGCTGACTGGTAGTGAAACCATGCACTGCCTGCGACCACCACCACGGCCACCACCATCCATCTCTCTCCCTCTTTCCCCCTTCCCCCCTGCACCATGCAGGCACCTGAAGCTGCAGTCCATTGAACAGGGGAGTATTACTTGCTCTCTGACTGGCAACAAACAAGCACCGCCCCCGCCGTCACTACCACCATTGGCACCAGCATCAGCAGCAGCGGCACTGCCAGCATCACCAGCACCACCTCCGATCCCTGCTGCTGCTGCTGCTGCTTCTGCTGACAAATATGCGAGTGCCGCCGCTGCCACCACTGCCATTGCCACTGCAGCTGCCACCATGCAAGCTGCAGCATCTGTAATAACGGCAGGTGGCGTAAACACGGAGAAAGTTGATACTGTTGTGAAGGCACCAGGTGGCTCTGTCAGCGGCACTGTGAGCGGCTCTGCAAGCAACGATACGAAGACGAAGGCGTCGGATGATCAAACCATGGCCACAGCAGCTGGTTTGAAGGAGCACCCGCCCCCGCCCCCCCCCACGGTGCATTTCTTCAACAGCTTCTTCTTCAAGATGCTGATCGGCGGGGAGAAGGACGACCCCCTCTTCCCCACCACTCGTGCCACTGCTGCTGCCGGCGGTAGTGCCGTTGCCAACAACCATGCTGCTACCCCCAATGCGCCAGGGGGTGTGGAGGAGGAGCTGGATGAGGAGCTGGACTCCAAGGCCGCGCACTGGAGGGTGCGCAAGTGGACCAAGGGGGTGAACCTCTTTGCCTGCGACTTTGTGTTCATCCCCGTCAACCTCAGGTGGGTTCAACCTCAGGTGGGTTCAGTCAACCTCAGGTGGGTTCAGTCAACCTCAGGTGGGTTCAAACTCAGGTGGGTTCAACCTCAGGTGGGTCCAACCTCAGGTGGGTTCATTCAATCAACCTCAGGTGGGTCCAACCTCAGGTGGGTTCAATCAACCTCAGGTGGGGCCAACCTCAGGTGGGTTCAATCAACCTCAGGTGGGTCCAACCTCAGGTGGGTTCAATCAACCTCAGGTGGGTTCAATCAACCTCAGGTGGGTTCAATCAACCTCAGGTGGGTTCAATCAACCTCAGGTGGGTTCAATCAACCTCAGGTGGGTTCAATCAACCTCAGGTGGGTTCAATCAACCTCAGGTGGGTTCAATCAACCTCAGGTGGGTTCAATCAACCTCAGGTGGGTTCAATCAACCTCAGGTGGGTTCAATCAACCTCAGGTGGGTTCAATCAACCTCAGGTGGGGCCAAGAGCAGGTGGTATCCGTCTGATCCCTCCCTGGGCTTGTGCATCAATCGTGTGGTCTCTTGCTCCACATTCCCCTTCTCCGCCTGCTGGTCCTCTTTCTCTTGGTGATCACACTGCTCCTCCTCAATGTTATCTCTCTCTCGCCATGGCTCTGCATGGCGCCATGGCTCTGCATGGCGACTCGTTGCATTGCATGCGACTTTGTCTCCATTCCTGCCAGTCTCAGGTGGCAAAATTCTTCTGGTTGGTAATCACCGCTAGGGTAGGTTATCACCCTCAGGTGGATAATCACCCCTAGGGTAGGTTATCACCCTCAGGTGGATAATCACCCCTAGGGTAGGTTATCACCCTCAGGTGGATAATCACCCCTAGGGTAGGTTATCACCCTCAGGTGGATAATCACCCCTAGGGTAGGTTATCACCCTCAGGTGGATAATCACCCCTAGGGTAGGTTATCACCCTCAGGTGGATAATCACCCCTAGGGTAGGTTATCACCCTCAGGTGGATAATCACCCTAGGGTAGGTTATCACCCTCAGGTGGATAATCACCCCTAGGGTAGGTTATCACCCTCAGGTGGATAATCACCCCTAGGGTAGGTTATCACCCTCAGGTGGGTAATTACCTCAGGTATGTCCTGTTTGAACCTCAGGGTGGATTCGTCCCCCATCGTTTTCGCACTGTTGTGTGATAACCTCAGGGTGATAACATACCCTCAGGGTGATTTCGCATCGTGCGCATTGCGCACCTGGTACAGATGCAGATGGATGCATACAGTCCATCGTCTCTGTGTTCCCTTCTCTCCTCCTGCTATTGCGTTTACGCATGCATACATATGCTCACACACGCATCCATCCACATCAGTGTTTCTTCTGCCTGCTGTTTCCCCTTGCAGCTACCACTGGAGTCTCCTGGTCATCTGCCATCCAAACAAGATCCTCCCACCACCACCACCACCAGGAAGCGCAGTTCCAGCATCAGCAGAAGCAGCAGTGGCACAACCAGAATCACCTGCCCTGCAACCACCAGCACCACCAGCACTGTCGCCAGCAGCAGCAGCAGCAGCGGCAGCAGCAGTAGGAGCAGCAGTTGTACGGGGGGCAGGAACAGAAGCAGCAGCAGCAGCAACACATCCGCCCAAATCATCATCAGCATCCTCCCATCCTATACCCCCATCAACCTCGCCTCTATCACCATCCCCATCCCCTTCAGAAGCCTCCCCTCTGCAAGAGTACATCTGCTCTCAAATCCTACCACATTCCCCCCTCCGTGCCCCTCCCTCTCGTGCGCTCTCCAACCCCCCTCAAGCCACCCCTCCACACAACACTCCAGCCCCGCCACTGCCATCAGCCGTCGGCCAGTCTCCTATCACTCCGGCCAGCCCATACCCTCCTCTTTCCAGCCCCTTCCCTCCTCCCCCCCACGCTCCTCTCAAACCTCCTCCCGCTCCCCACCTCCCGTCTGCTTCCCCGGTTCCCTCAACCCTAACCAACAACCCTCCTGCATCCCCCTCTCGCGAGCCCACTACTACACCCCCCCCGTCCATAGACCCTCCCGCACCCTCCTCTCATGACCCTGCTGCTCCCACGCCTACCTCTCACAACGTTGCTCCCACGACCCCCGCCCATGAGCCTGCTGCGTGCATTCTGCACTACGACTCGCTGCCAGGCCTGCACCTGGACGTGGAAGAGGCCGTCCGAATGTGAGTCAGTATGAGATCCCTATTGGAGGGTAGAGGTAGAAAGGGGGTCTCACAAACGTGCATTCTGCAGCACTGCGACTTGGCTGCACCTGGGCGTGGAAGAGGCTGTCAGGATGTGAGACATGTGTTGGGGGGGAGGTGAGTGAGGTAAGGGAGAGGGGGGTAGAGGAGGAAGGGACGTGTCTCACGAGCGTGCATTCTCCAGTACGACTCGCTGCCAGGGCTGCACCTGGATGTGGAAAAGGCTGTCAGGATGTGAGTCATGGGTGGGCAGGAAGGGGGGGGGGGAGTGGGTGAGGCTGTGTCAGTGTAGTTAATTTAGTCAATGTACCCGGCGCTTGTGTTGTCCCATGCCTCTCTCTTCGCCTCCCTCTCATTCATCCTCAGGTGTCTGCTGGAGTGGTACTGCTGGGTGTGCCATCAAGCATCGAGACGTGACCTGTGAGCGAGTCTACTCATGTGCCCGCTCCCACATGACTTGCCCCACTCCCTTTTCCCCCAACATCCTCAGGTATCTGCTGGTTGGATGGGTCCTTGGTGTGCTATGAAGTGTCGAGGTGACTTGGAATAGTCCCGTCCCCACTCTCCCTCCCCCACCCTCCCCCCCTAATCACCGTCAGGTATCTGCTGGAGGAGTAGTTGCTTTGCTATAAGGTGCTGAGCTGGCTTGATAGCACTCTGCTGCTCCTGTGTTGTTCCCTTTGGCCTCTGTTCTCCCCCTCTCCCTCATCCCCAGGTATCTGCTGGAGGAGTACTTGGTGCGCTATAAGGTGCCCCCCACCAAGGCCATACGAAGGGCGTTTGTGTCTCTGCCTGTCATTCGCCCCAAGGTAAGCACGACCATTCTGAAAGAGAATCGTCCTGTGAGCAGGTGAGCAGTTCACATGGGATGGGAGGGAGACATAGTTTTCTTTTGTTGGTGTTATTGACCCTACTTTTTCTTTCTTTCTTTTTGCTGTTTGCGCTTTCCTATCTTCACTGCAACCTCCTTCCTGCGCTCTTCTAACATGTGTTTCTCTCCCTGCACCTCAGCAGTAGGACACACGAAGTCTCAACCCTTTCCCCTCGCCTTTTCTTGCATTGAGGTGACTTTTGAGCTTCTCCCCTCTCCTCCATCCCCTCCCAACGTCTGCAGGCCCCCAAGCAGCCCAATCTGAGTGACTGCGGGGTCTTCCTGCCCCTATACGCCCAAGATCTGCTCTCGCACATGCCCCTGCTCTCTACACACCTTGCTGCTTCTGCCTCCCCTCCCCACTCCTCCACCCACCTGCAGGTCCCCAAGCAGCCCAATCTGAGTGACTGCGGGGTCTTCCTGCTACTAAATCACCAAGAGCTCCTCTCCACATGCCCCTCTGTCTGAGACCTTGCCTTTCTGCCTGTGTGCCTCCCCTCCCCACTCCTCCATCCCGTCTCTGCACCTGCAGGTCCCCAAGCAGCCCAATCTGAGTGACTGCGGGGTCTTCCTGCTGCTATATGCGCAGGAGCTCCTCTCCCACTTGCCGCTCACTGTGTGTCGTGCGCAAGCGTGCGAGCAGTGCAAGCAAGTGGTACGTGGGCCCGCTCGGCTGTTGTTTGCTGTACGCCTGCTCCTATATGCGCAGTAGCTCCTCTTCCACATGCCACTCACTATGTGCCAAAGGCCTGCGTGCGAGCAATGCAAGCTAGTGGTGGGAGGCTCGCCTTTTTCTTGTTTTTTGTAGAGTCCCGTGACGGTCGTTTATCTAGAAGTCACAGAATAAGTTCTATAATCCTCTCTAGAACTCTGGCTTCTGTCATGGCCGAACGGTAAATTAGTGCGGCCGGAGCGACAGAGTTTCTGGCTCGAGTTTTGGCAATTTGAAACCAAAATCACGCTGCACGCTTGAAGAACCTTGAAGAACTCTTCGTGGCGCGCTAACTTTTCAGCCACATGACTTTGGTTTCAATTTGCCAAACAAAGCTCAAGCCGGAAACTCTGTCGCTCTAGCCGCACTAATTTTGCGTTCGGCCATGACTGAAGCCAGAATGCCAGAAAGGATGATAGCGCTCATTCTGTGACTACTCGACAAACGGCCGTCACGGGATTCCACAAGAAACAAGAAAAAATCGAGTCTGCCACAAGCCTCCCACGTGCCAGCAATGCAAAGCAGTGGAAGTGCGCCTATTTGCGACTGCTAGTGCTGCTTGCTGGCGGCGTTCCTGCTCTCCGTCCGCTCTCCTGAATGCGGGTTCACGGGCCTTTGTTCCTGTCCCATCTTTGAGGCGCCTAAAAAATAGACTCCTCACGCATGGATTTTTTTTTGGCCCCTCAAAAATGGGCTTTTGTTCCTGTCCCACTCCCCCTCCTTCCTCCCCGAACCGCCCCCACCTCCACACACCGCAGCGTCCCCCCCTGCCTCAGCCAAGCCGATGCGAGCTGCCGTTACCTTAGAGTTGTGCCCACACTTTCCTAGTTCTCCCGCCTTCCTCCCAACATCCACACACACCCCAGCTGTGCTTCGTCTGGCTCAAGCCCATGCGAGCTGCCATCCACCGCACCGTGCTGCAGCGAGCGGGGCTGGTTGACTTTCTGGAGAGAGAACCCAAGAGAGCCCCCTCCCAGCGAGCTGCCATCCCCTTTCCTTGCGTCCGCGCCTCCCCTTGTTTCCCTCGTCCCGCCCTTGCCCTTCCCACCAGCTGTCCTACCCCTGGCAGAAGCCTAACTCAGCCAAGCCCATGCGAGCCATTATCCGCAGCAAGCGGGGCTGGTTGACTTGCTAGCGCGAGAACCTGAGTGAACCAAAGAGGCCCCCCTCTTTCTCCCCCCGGTTCCACTCTATTTGTCCCTCCTTCCTCCCACCTGTCCTTCCCTCCTTCCTCTTTCACCCATGCGAGAGAACCCAAGGAGAGACCACTCTCTTTCCTCCCCCCACTCTACTCTTCTCCCCTCCCCCCCCCTCCTCTCTCCAGCTGTCCTTCCCCTGGCTAAAGCCAGACTCAGCCAAGCCCATGCGAGCCGCTATTCGCCGGACGGTGCTGCACCGAGCGGGGCTGGTGGACCTGCTGGAGAGAGAACCCAAGAAAGAGGATGTGGTGGTTGGGGAGGAGGTGAGGGAAGCATGGAACGAGGAGGGGGCGGGGTGTGGAGTGGGGCGCGAGGGAGGGTTGCGAGGGCTGCTAGCGAGGGAGATGAGGAGTGTGGGGGAGGAGGGGGGGAGAGGGAAGGGGGGGAGAGTGGAGGGAGAGGGTGGTGTGAGGGGGGGTAGAGGTGCGGAGAGACGGGGAGAGGGACACAGAAAGGACGTGGCACAAGACCAGCAGCAGCAGCAGCAGCAGCAGAATATGCGTGTGACTCGTAGCCGCAGCGTGCAAGCAATCATGGCAGGTCAGGGAGAAGGGGGCCCTCTGACGCAGGGTAGGGTTGGTGGGAAGAGAGAGCGGTGCGTGCAAGAGAGGATAGAGGAGGGGAGTGGGGAGGAGAAGGAGGTAGAGGAGGAGGATGATGTGATGGAGGTGGTTGCGGTGAGGAAGAGGGGGAGGGTGGGGGATGGCGGATGGGGGGGAATGGATGGGAGTGGTGAAGGGAGGGTTGCTCGGAGTGCGGTTGCTGATTGGCTGGATGAGGTGGATAGGGAGGTAGAGATGGAGATGGCGAAGGAGAAGGAGAAGGGGGAGGAGGGGGAGAAGGGGGAGAAGGGGGAAGAGAAGGGAGGGGCGGGGTTGGAGAGGAGTGAAGGGAAGGCGGGGAGGAGAGAGGAGAGGAATAGGAAGGTGGAGGTGAGTGGGGAGGAGGTAGAGGAGGTGGAGGAGGCGGAGTGTTTGAGAAGTCCGAGAGACGAGGGACGGAGGGAAGAGGGAGGGGGGGACGTGGAGGAGGTTCGAAAGGAAGAGAAGAGGAGGGAGGAGGGAAAGGGGGACAGACAGAAGGGGCGGGTGGAAGAGGAAAGTAGCGGAGAGGTGGAGGGGGTTGAAACGGAAGAGGAAACGAGGGATAGGCAACAAGGGCTGGTGGAAGACAGGAGAGGAGGAGAGGCGAAGCTTGCGGTGAGGCAGAATGAGGACATGAGTGGAGAGGAGGCGCGAGAGGAGAAAGGGCGGCAGGAGACGGAAAGGGAGCAAGGAAAAAAGGGGAGTTCTGTTGAGTTGACAGGGATTAGGGTTGAGGGAGAGCATGAGCTGGTACCTGGAGAGCATGAGCTGGCACCTGGAGAACATGAGCTGGCATCTGGAGAGCATGAGCTGGCATCTGGAGAGCATGAGCTGGCACCTGGAGAGCATGAGCTGGCATCTGGAGAGCATGAGCTGGCACATTATGTGTTGATGAGTAGTTCAGCTGATGAATCTGCTCCTGCTCCTCCTGCTCCTCCTGCTCCTCCTGCTCCTCGTGCTGCTGCTGCTGCTGCTGCCCCTCGTGCTGCAGCCGAGGCTGTGGCTGCTGACAATGTCAATGATGGTAACGGAACTGTTGGTAGCAACGTGCGCGGTGGTCTGGCTGGCAAACATCCTCCTGGCCGTAGGGCACGCGATGGTCTGGCTGCCGCATGTGCTGCTCAGGGGTCCGCTACAGCTGCAGATGCTGCTACAGCCACAGGTGCTGCTACCGCCACAGGTGCTGCTACAGCCATGGGTTCTTCTACAGCCACAGGTGCTGCTACAGCCACAGCCACAGCCACTGCCACAGCTGTACGTACATGTTCAGACACCAATGCAGCAGACACTGCAGCTCTAGATGCGGTTGCAAGAGCAAAAACCTCGGCTGCTGCTACAGTCAGACTGGCGTGCAGACGAGGGTGGGTAGCAGAAAGGAGGGGAGGATTGAAGAGGTACGGGGGGTTGTGGAAGGACGATGGGGCGGACGATGCAGATGAGGGGGAGGATGCGGAGGAGGAAGAGGAGGAGGAGCATGTGACGCAGGAAGAGGAGGATAAAGCAGCTGTTGTTTTCATCAGTGACTCGCGAGGAGATGAGGCTGAGAATCGGGAGGAAGCTGATAGAGAGGAGGAGGATAGGGAGGAGGGTAGAGCGGAGGACAAAGAGGAGGGAAGGGAAGAAAATAACGACAGATGCGAGCGGGGTGAGGGAGGCGTGGGGGGTGCAGCAGCACCTGTTGTTCTTTGCATCAGTGAATCGCCTGTGAGGGATGGGGACGAAGTGGAGGATAATGAGAAGGAGGATAGGGGCGACGTACGGGTAAAAAGACGAGAGGAGGAGGAGGAGGAGGAGGAGGAGGAGGACGATGGGGAGAAGAAGAAAGAGGGTAGGCAGAAGGCGGCGAAGGAGGGAGGAATCGAAAGGCATGAGGCTGGGGAGACCAGCGAAAGCATTGGGAGAGGAGAAAGCAGCGATGCGGAGGAGGAGGGCAGGATAGCATCGAGGCGCGAGGAGGGGAAACAGAGTGCGGGTGGTGGTGGTGCGGACATGTGGGGTGACCTGGATCTGAGCAGCAACCTGGATTCTGCCACAGGGCTGCTGACGTCACTGCAGAAGAGGGGTGATGGGCCGGCGGGTGGGTGTGTCAGGAACCCACAGGGGGAGCAGTCTGCTGCGTTACTTGTCACTTCTCGTTCTTCTCACAACACCCGCACTGCTGACACACGGCTGCGGACAGCGCTGCAGAAGAGGGTAGAGGGGCCGGGCAGGGGGGTGAGGAGAGAAGGAAGGTCGGAAGGGGGAGGAGAAGAGGGTGGGAGCAACGGAGGTGAGCGGGAAGGAAAAGGAGCAACGGACGGCACGAGAGAGGGGTGCGAGGGGGGGTTGGGGCCGGAAGCGAGCCCAAAGGGAGAGGGAAAGAGGGTGGGAAAAGAGTTGGGCGGGAGGGGACACGCACAGGAGTGACGATGGAAGCGGGGGCAGCAGCAGCAGCAGGTGGTGCGGCGAGGGCTCGAGAGGGGGCAGGGAGACATGCAGTGGCAGTGGTTGGGGGGAGGAGGGAGGAGAAAGGAGTGGGGGCGGTGAGGGATAGAGAAGCGGGAGTGGGGAAAGATGATGGGGTGAAGCGAGTGGGACTGGTGAGGGGAAGGGAAGAGGGAGGAAAGAGAACGGAGGGGTGGAGGAGAGAAGTGGAGGGCAGGGCACTGGAGGGGAGGAATGGGAGGGAGAGTGGGGGGGAGAAAGCAGTGGAGGATGAGGCGATGAGGGAAAGGAGTGAGGAGAAGAAGAAGGAAGAAGGCGAAAAGGAGGATGAGGAAGACGATGAAAAGAGGGAGGAGGAAGAAGATGAGAAGGAGGAGGAGGAGGAGGAGGAGGAGGAGAATGAGGATTGCTTTGTGGTGGAACCGAAGGGGAAGGTTGAGGAGGAAACATGGGCTGAAAAGGATATGGAGGGGAGAGATGGAGGTAAGGATGTGACTCTGGGGAAGGAGAAGAAAGAGGAGGATTCGAGGGAGGGGGGGGGAAGGTTGGAGAGGAGAAGGAGAAGGTGGAGGCGGAGATAGCAAGAAAGGAAGTGGAGGGGGACGAAGGGCAGAACGGGGCTACGAAGCCTGCGGACGGGGAGAGTGGAGTGTTGAGGCGCCTCAAAAATAGACTCCTCACGCCTGCAGACGGGGAAGGTGGAGTGGGTGGGAATAGAGCGAGAGGCGTGGGTGCGAGGGGGTTGAGAGGTGAGGGGCGGGTGAGAGGTGAGAGGCGGGTGTGCAGCTTGGAAGGGCAGCTTGGGATTAGAGTGGAAGGAGTGGGTGCAGGGAGGGGGGGGAGTGGTGTGGACGCAGGGGAGGAAGGGGAGGAAGGGGAGGAAGGGGGTGGCTTGAGAGTGGGGGAGGAATCAGAAGAAGAGGAAGGAGAAGTGAAGGACGGGGAGGAGGTTGAGGAGGACGAGGAAGTAGAGGGAGAGGAAGATGAGGAGAGAGGGGAACGGGCCGGAGGGGGGAAGGGGGAGAAGGAAGGTGAAGCAGAGGAGGAGGAGGGAAGTGCGGGAAAGGATGAGGTGAAGGCAGGGGAAGAAGGTGGGGAAAGAGGGAGCTTGGTCGGCGAGATGGATGAGGGAGAGAAGGGACCGCTTGAGAAGGGAGGAGGGAAAGGTGAGGCCCGGGAGGAGGGGAAAATGGAGCTTGGTAAAGCGTTGGAGTGTGTGGATCTGAGTGGGCTTGAGAATGATGAGGAGGGGGAGGAAGAAGAGGAGGAGGAAGAGGAGGAAGAGGAGGAGGAAGAGGAGGAGGAAGAGGAGGAGGAATTGGTAGGTGAAGTGGAGGAGGGGAAGAAGGGAGGGAAGGGAGAGAAGGGAGGAGGAAGCAAAGGGATGTTGGAGGGTGACCCAGAGACAGAGTGCCTGGATTTGAGTCGGCCTAAAAATGCTTCCTATGTTAAAACCGTGAGTAATGAGATGACTTTTGAGGCGCCTCAAAAGGCGTTGGAGCATGGCAAGGAGACGGAGTGTGTGGATCTGAGTGGTTCTGAAGATGAAGAGGAAGAGGGGGAGAAAGTGGAGGCGCAAGAGGAGAAGGATGAGAGTCGGGAGAAGGAAAGGGAAGCGGGTGGTCGAAGTGGAGGGAAATTTGGCAGAAGAGAACTTGATATTGTGTCCGGTCGATACTTGCCAGCTCAGCATTTGCCAGGTCACCATGTGCCAGCTCATCACGGGCAAGAGAGCACTCTGCTGCAACCACGTGTACATAGACCAGGGAGGGAGGAAGAGGCAGCAGAGAAGTTGAAAGGTGTGGGAGGTAGAGGGAGAAGGCATGCTGAGGAGGCAGGTGTTAAGAGGCGAAGAGAGTTGGGCGGGCGACATTTCACCGACAGGCAGGGAATGGAGGGGTGGCACACGGAGGAGCAGGATGAGGCAGGAAGTCAAGGAGGGGAAGGGAGGGATGGCGCAGCGCCGCTTGGTGGTGACGAGGCGAGGGTGAAAAGGCGAGGCATGCGATATTTCACAGCGAGGCAGGGCACAGAGAGGTGGCTCACAGCAGAGCAGGATGACAGGGAACAGAAGGATGGGGAAAAGAGGGAGGGTGCACCACGGCATGATGCAGCAGACGAGGCGAGACCCGAAAAACGGAAGTGCAATGATGATGATGCCGATGATGCTGATGATGATGCTGATGATGAGCACGGGCGGTCGCTGGGAGCTAAGGATGTGCAGGGAGCAGAGGAGGGGCAGGGAGCAGAGGACGTGCAGGAGGTGCGCGTGCGTCTAGATGTGCCGCAGGTCGGAGGCTCGCACCATACGTTGGGCCCAACTCAAGGGGAACAGGAGGGACAGGGGGGCAGGGGGGACAGGGGGAGCAAGGATCAGAGGCAGCGACTGAGGTGCGTGTGAGTCCGGATGTGGTGGAGGTTGAAGGGACGCATCGTATCACCCTCAGCAGCGGCAGTGAGGGGAGCGGAGAGAGAGCAGGGAAAGCGGTGGGGGAAGAGAGCGAGGGGAGTGAGGGGAGTGAGGGGCAAGTGAAGAGCCAGGAGAGCAGAGGAGAGGATGCCAGCAGTGGCTCTGACTCTGAGTTGGAGAGGGAGGAGAGGAGAGAGGTGGGGGAAAGGAGAGGTAGGGAGGGAGGAGATAAGGCGAGTCCAAAAGAGAGGTGGAGAGGCGAGAAGAGAAGGGAGGGGCAAGAAGAGGCAGCTGAACGTGCATTGAGACAGAGGAAGAAGCAACAGCGGAGGAGGGAGCAGCAATGGAAGGAGCAGCAGCAGTTAGGCAGATCCTTGAGGGAGAAGCAACGCTGGGACAGGGAGCGCAAGGGGAAGCACGTCCTTTCAGGGTCGCCCCGATTCCACTCCCCTTCGCTTGTGTCATTTGGCATGCAGTCACTCTCGCTTCAATCACCCTCACCTGCCCATCCGTCACTCCCTATACAGTCACATGTGCAGCGCTGGCTACAGTCACCTCCAGGGCACCGGCCACAGTCACCCCCTGCCCCCACCCGCCCCTCCCCTGCCCCATGGGAGACCTGCCAAACTCACTTCTCTCCTGCTACATCCGAACCCCGCCGCTCTCACCCCGTCCTCCCTCCCACTCCTCTCATCCCCCTCACTCTTCTGCTGCATCCCAGCCACGCCGTGCCCACCCCTCTCACCTCCCTCACCCCTCTCACCTCCCTCACCCCTCTCACCCCCCTCACTCCTCTGCTGCTGCATCCGAGCCACGCCATGCCCACCCCTCTCACCTCCCTCACCCCTCTGCTGCTGCATCAGAGCCGCGGCGCTCGTCTCGGGTGTGCGAGAGGGATGAGCAGAAGCAGCGGCAGCTGGCAGAGATACGGCGAGAGATGAGCAAGGGTGTGAAGAAACGGCTGCATGACTTGCTGGATGTTGAGTGACCGCTGTGAGTTGCAGACACAGCTGCGAGAATATGGGATTGATATGGATGACAGGTGGCCAGGGCATGGACTGGCTCTCTCAGCAGCAGCAGCAGCAGCAGCAGCAGCAGCAGCAGCAGCAGCAGCAGCAACAGCGGCAGCAGCAGCAGCGGCGGCGGCAGCGTCTGTAGTGGAGGGGATCTAGGAGACGGCTGTGCATGCAAGGAGCGGTCGGAGGAACGAGTGGGAGGAAGAACAGTGCGGGGAGAAGGCGAGAGATGGGCAAGGAGGATGTGAGGAAACGGCTGGATGGCTGGCCAGCTGGAGTGATTGTGGCGTGAGACATCTGATCTGAACTGAGCTCAAGACTGTAGGAGCAGCTTGCCTATTTTCCCCTTAGTGAATAAACTACTGCATGGGTTGGGCCGGGTCAAATTGCCTGGTAGTACTGGTACTAGCTCCAAACTTTGAGACAAATGGTGCATTAGCAATAGAGCATGCAGAACATTCCAATAGCCTATGAGGTGTAGGCATGTATATTGAGCCGTGTATTCTACCAATAACAACCACACCACACTGTATTGCCCCATCACAGATAGAGCTTCAGTCAGTAGAGGCATTTGTCGTGTTGCTTGACTGCAATAAATGTAACACTTACTTACCCTGCATGGAACCACTGTAGTACAAAACCTGCACTGTAGACTGCCTGCAGCGAAATATGATTACATAACCTCCGTGTAATACACGGTACCGTATGTCTGTATCTGAATGCTGCCCAAACTACACCCATTACCCCATGCACCGTCTACCATAACACAACCCAAACGCTTTATGGCTTGACGTCGAACGCCACCTTGATCCCATTCCTGCAATCTTTTTTCACGTTGCTGCTGAAGTAGATGGTCTTATCGTAGTCCTCGCCAGGCACCTTGTAGACGAAATTGCCATAGCTGCGACCCCGGGCGAGCTGTTTTGCGTTGAGGAACGTGCATGCAGCGTAGTCTGCAGCGTCCACTTTGTGCACCGAGTGCTGCTCGCTCAGCCACTGGAAGACTGCAGGCAGGCAGGGAGGGAGGGAGGGAGGGAGGGAGAGGGAGGAGGAGGGTGGGGAGGGGGAGGAGGAGCATTGTTCTAAGAGGTGTGTCAAATGCAGTGTAGTCTGTAGCGTCTACTTTGTGCACCGAGTGCGGCTCGCTCAGCCGCTGGAAGACTGCCGGCAGGCAGGGTCAGGATGGGAGGGGCAGAATGGCAGGGGCAGGATGGGAGGGGCAGGATGGGAGGGGTGCAATGCGAGGCGCACAGGAGAGGGGGCATTGGGTTTCTACTACCTAAGCACCTCAAGTGCAGTGGAACCTGCAGAGCCTACTTCTTGCACCGAGTGCCACTCGTTGACACACTGGAAGATTGCAGGCAGGGCAGGGGCAGGGGAAGGGGCAGGGGCAGGGGCAGGGGAAGGGGCAGGGCAGGGGCAGGGGCAAAGGCAGGGGCAGGGGCAGGGCAGGGGCAGGGGCAGGGGCAGGGGCAGGGGCAGGGTGGGAAGGTGGGGGCGTTGGAGAAGAGGCACTGCAGCTCTGCAGGGTTGCGTTTTAGAATTCTAAAAAAAACCCTGCAGATCCAAACACTACCGTGCCGTAAACAGTGTAGCCTTGATTTTGTAGGGTCTTTTTTGGAAGCATATAAAAAGCACCCCGTCATTCTAAGAAGCAAAATCAAGCACTACCGTGCAAGTACGAGCCGTGCCGTGGCGCCACTGCCACCTCTCCAGCCGGTCACCTGGCAGCATTTCCGACCCCTTCCAGGTCTTGAGCCCATAGCCCCTCGGGGATAGCCATCTGTTGCCATTGCGTTGCCACCACATCCCACCGCATCCCACCACTCCCACATCACCTTCACTTGCACTGAGTTGTTGCACCACAGACACGTACCTAGCAGGTCACCGGGCAGCACTTTGGGCGCCTTCCAGGTCTTGAGCCCATAGCCCCACGGGGATATGAGCCTGCCGAGTCTGCCCCCCACATGCACCACTCTCTATATGCGGAGGGGCGAAAGGGGGGGGGGAACAGAGGAGGGAAGGAGGGAGGAACAGTAGGAGGATGACTGACTTTCAACAATCTGCCGGCCCTGCCTTGTGCATGCACCACATTCTATATGCGGAGGGGTGGGTTGGGTTGTGAGGGGGAGGGAGGGAGGGGCGTAACGTTAGGGGTTGTGTTTGAGAGAGGAGGGAGACAACTAAAGCACGGGGTACAGTGCATGTATGAAGCCCTTTTTTAAGGCGCCGCCTCAAAATAAAAATGTCTTGCAGAGGCACCTAGGGGGAGTCGGGGGGGGGGGGGGCTATTGTGAGGCGTTTCAGCATTGGCCATGTCTTAGAGCAGCACCTATGAGGCGGGGGGGGAGGGGAGGAGGGGGATGGAGATTGATGGAGCCTGTGTTTAGAAGCCCAGGTCCCAAGATGCAGGGCCAAGCAAGTCTCTGAGGCTTGCTGGGTGGCAGATGGGGCTTGGGTTCGACCTGATTGGAGCACCAAAGCTGCAAACCCCCAAAATGTGTTTGGCAAGAGGCGTTTGGTTCGGAGGGAAGGGGAGGGAAAACTGTTGGCGACACTCTTTGGAGAGTGTGTGATCATCACGGCCATTTCGTTTTTTTTTTTGCCAATGGGTGTCGTTTTTTAACAATTGTCGTTTTTCAACAGCTCATGGAAGTCGCTAAAAATTGTCAAAATCCGCGTATCCAGCCCAGACTCCACACCTAAACCCGAACCTCCCTTGACTGCGGCTCGCGACTTGAGACTCGGGATTTAAATGGGCCTTCTTAACTCGTGCTTTTGCTTTTGCATGTGCTTTCGTGAGTGTGCTTCTAGTATGCATACGGAATTGTAGCCTTTTTTCTCCCTACATACTAAAATTTGTTTTCGAACTCTCTCAATATTAGTTGAAAGATACGATATTAACTATTCTCCAAATATTTGTTATTATAACTACTCATATTCGTATTAGGCTGTAGCCGATTCCCTACAGGCTACAGGCAGTACCTGCGCTTCAGCGCTGGCTGAAAGGAGCGAGCGAAAGGAGGCGTTCGTTGATCAGCACCGCGGGGGAACAGACGCGCGGGGCAGACACCGGTGGAGAGACGGCGACATGGAAGGGGAGAGGGGGGAAAAAGAGGGAAAAGGAAAAATGAAAGAGAAGAGAGGGGGGCGAAACGAGTAACTTGTGAAGGGAGGGGCTGGATGGAGGGAGGAAGTGGAGAGGGAGAGAGGGAGATGAGATTGGGGAGGTTGGGGAGGGAGACAACTTGAAGGGGGGAGATTACACGTGACACGGAAAGGCACGTTTGGCATGTGGAGGGAAAAGGAGAGATGCGAGGGGAGGAGACGAAAGCGAGATCCCTCGCATCTTCGCTCATTGGAGGAGGAGCTGCTGGATGAGATTGCGTCGTTTCGACTTTTGAGTCGACTCAAAAGTCACCTCCTTACAATGTCACACGGAACTTTCGCTACGAGACGAAAGCGACATCCCACGCATCTTCGCTCATCGGAGGAAGTGCTGCAGGATGACTTTTTAGCCGCCTCAAACATCTCCTGCGAATTGCAGGCTGAGGAAAAGGGAGAGATGATGGCGGAGGAGAGGCAGTGGCCGAATCTCTGAGATTGAAATCGCGAGAATAATAAGGGACTCCTTTCAACGCTCTCGCGCCTCATCGCGGCAATGCCGCAGTGGCGCCTCGCGAGGGACATCATCAATCGCCGCGGCATCACGCGGTGCGGCGGGTGGATTGGAATATCGCACAGGGAGCGCGAGAGTGGGTACGATAACTCAAAGGCTACCTTGCCCTAAAAAACCGTCGCGTACTAAGAGGCGCAATGGCCATTGCGGATTTACTCGGAACGGTCGAGAAACGGCAGAACAGCGCGGAGAATCTGGGTCGAAAGACCAGAGCTGAGCTGTATGTTTGGAGGCGCTTAAGAAACAGACAGCGCGGACCGACAAGGAGGACGAGCAATGCGGCAAGAAGGGCTGACTACTGAGAACTCATCTCAGAAACAACCTAGTTTAGGCAGAATAGCGTCCAGAAACTAAGGTGGAAATGTCGAAGTGCACGCACCGAAGAGGAGGGCGAGCGCCGCGGTGAGAAGCTGACTTTTGAGTCGACTCGAGAGTCATATCGGAAACAACCTACTTTAGGCAGACCAGCGTGGAGAATCTAAACTGGAAATATCAGAGAGCACGCACCGACGAGGAGGACGAGCGCCGCGGTAAGAAGGAAAAGCCGCGGCGGGATTCGGGAGGCCATGATGAAGGGTGGGAGGGAGGGCGTAGAGCTGCCCAGTGGGACGGAGAGGAAATGTTCGGGAGCAGGGGGAGACCTTCGGAAGGCGGTGCGGGGAACGTCCGGTCCGCACGGAGAGGGAAACGCGGAACGTTGTGTGGGTTCAGTGGACAGAGGCAGAACCGAGAATGCAGCGGGCTCTGCTAATTCTGAGCACCAACTGATGAGCATCAGTCGCTACCTTGGAACTGTGGATGAGGAAGTGGTTGGGGAGGACATTGGGGAGCAGGGCTGGAGGAGGAGGATGGGGAGAAAGTTTGGAAAAAGAAGGGATGGGATGATTTTAAAAAGGGTGGCGTGGGGTGAGATGGGGTGGAGCGAAGACTGGAGTGCTGCAGTTCCTGCTGCAACGCCTGTGCTGCTGCTTGCAATTGGGCAGAATTCACGACGCTTCCTCAGCATTGTGAGAAGATGCATTCGATTCGAACCCGACTGCACCACAAACCACACGAGGAAAATCGGCCTGTCGAAATACATCTCCGCTTCGCGGATTCGCCAGACGAAATGTATCTGCAAATCAGCAGCCAGAGTTTCGAAATCAATAAGGTTACAGTTTTCGTCAGCGTCGCAAATTAGTTTTTTTGCCCTGGCGGCCTTCACTGAGACCAAGCAGCCGTCCATTGCAAGCATAGGTCCCCTCCCCTCGTTGCGTCCCTGTTTCAGGGCAGTCCAGGGTTCGGCGGCGGTCGCGACATCAATCGAGTGGTCGTCGCTGAGACAGGGCGAGGCGACCACAAATCAGTCGGGTCCATTCGGGCAGGACCAGCCGCCAAGGGGACTCGCCTGTCACTGGGTGAACTGTGCTGTTCAAGGCGCGTCCCCCCGCGTACGTTTGAGTACGGTTGGGTCAGAATTTATGCGAAACAAAAAACAATTATAGCGTTCTAAAACGGTTGAGTAGGCTTTTGAGCGAGAAACGTACGCGCGGGACACACCCTCAGTGTTCACCTAAAAGCATGCCCAAAAGCCGGCCAAGGGGGCTGGGGGGGCTGCGCTGGGCGTGTGAAATGGCAAAGCTACATCCTCCCTCGCATGCACGACCCATTTGAGTTCAGTATTGCCTCTAGGCTTTAGTTTAGAACCGCAGCCAGCGCCTTTTATATTACCTGAGGTTCTTCCAGCCCTTGTCATTTCAGCCTTCGGTCTATAGTATCACCACAGCCCCGTTAATTCTACCAGAATTGAATAGAATCAAGACAGGTTTAGCCATTCGTCGAGTAACAGCTCCGACGCGGTTCAGCCATCCATTCCGAACGAAACCAAGCGTCGCATATCCTTTTCCTCGCGTGGAAATTTCGTCGGATGGAATTTTCTTCGCACAGAATTTTCGCTGCATAGAATTTCTCCTCGCAGCGTCATTGCGAGTAAACGCGTTGACCACCGTCACCGCGTGCATTCTCCTCGTTACCAGAACAAGCTTCAAGCTTCATACCACGAGCCCTTGTAGAAATTCTCTCTCCTCGTTACACGACGCTTTCTTCCGAGTCGTCTTTAAAACGTTCCCGGTACGGTACGACGCGATCTAGTTCAAGCGGTGCCTCTCGACACCGTCGTCACCTCGAGACGCGCTCGGCCTCGCGACGCTCTTTCTCTCAGCCGGCCATGGCGTGTCAAAAGTCGCTGATTCTCCTCCTCGCCGCTCTCATACTCCTCGTCGGTACGCGCCCTCTGCTTTCTCCGCGCATCTTGCGCCTTTCTCCGCGCATCTTGCGCCTTTCTCCGCGCATCTTGCGCCTTTCTTCGCACATCCTCCTTGCCTCTCACACCCTCCGCGACGTGCACCGCGTTTTCCGCTGTCGGCTCCGCTGATCTGCCCCTGTCCTTTCGTCGTCAGGCTCCTATCCACTCGGACTGCTGCGATTCCCCCCTGCGCTACCCTCCCGCTGCCGCTCCCCCTCTCCACGCGGCGCAGTTCTCTCCAGAAACCGTTTCTCTCCAGAAACCCCTTCATGCGTTACTCCGTTTCTCTCCGCTCCCTCCTCCGCCCAACGTCGTCAACTCACTTCCAATCCCCTCGCCCCTTTCACATTCTCTCCCACCCCACTACCCCTCCCCCCGCCCCTCTCTCTCCCATCATCTTCCCCCCTCCCCCCTCCTCCCCCCCGCTCTTCTCCGCTCCCGTCGCGTCCCCTCCCCCCCCCGCCCTCGCGCTGACGGTCTCCGCTTGTCCACTCTGCCCAACGATCAGGCGGAGTGGAAGCTCAGGTACGAGTGTCGCTGTACGCGCAACGCGTGGCATCGCTATAGGAACTGAAGCAAGGTACCGTCACGTGTAGCAATCCAACCCACGCAACGCGAGCAGCACTGGAAAGCACTTCACCGCACTGCACTTCACTGCACTTCACCTCACTGCACCTCACTGCACCTCACTTCACTGCACTTCACTTCGCTGCACCTCACTGCACTACGCTTTACTTCACTGCACCTCACTGCACTGCTCTTCACTTCACTGCACACTGCTGCTACATTAGCAGCTCATCGCTCCGTGCTCGCTGTCCGTTGCTCGTAGTGCAATCACGATGCTTGAACCCATGCATAACGCATAATTGGCACCGGGTTCTTACTGCCTCCCAGTCCATCCGCTCCCTTTCCGTCCGCTCCCTTTCCGTCCGCTCCCTTTCCGTCCGCTCCCTTTCCGTCCGCTCCCTTTCCGTCCGCTCCCTTTCCGTCCTCTCCCTTTCCGTCCTCTCCCTTTCCGTCCGCTCCCTTTCCGTCCGCTCCATTTCCATCCGCTCCCTTACTTTTGAGTCGACTCAAAAGCAATCACGATGCTTGAACCCATGTGTAACGCGTAATAGGAGCCAGGTTCTTACTGCCTCCCTTTCCATCTGCTCCCTCCCCCTCCCTGCTTCTTCCAACCTCCCTCATCGTCTCCCGCTTTCTCCCCTCTCCTCACAGAAAATGGTGTGGGTGGGCGGCGGCAACGGCAACAGGTGGATCTCCCCGTGGGGCTACGGGCTGCAGAACTGGAAGGCGCCGAAATTGCTGCCCAACGACGTGCTAGGTGCGCGCTGGCGCTGATGCAACGCATGCCACACGGCAGCGCAGAAAGAGAGGGTGGTGTGCGCGGGGGTGGGAGGTAGCAACGGCAACAGGTAAGTATCCCCGTGGGATATGGGCTCAATCAAGAACTGGAAGGCGCCGAAAGTGCTGCCAAATGGCCTGCTAGGTACGTGCTGGCGCTGACGCAACCCATGTCAGTTAGTGCAGCATGAGAGGGGTGCTCGGGGTGGGAGGTAGCAACGGCAACAGGTAAGTTTCCCCGTGGGGCTAGGGCTCAAGAACTGGAAGGCGCCGAAAGTGCTGCCGAACGACCTGCTAGGTAGGTACGTGTCCGTGCTATTGCAAGCCATGGCACAGGGCAGTGAGCGAGGGTGGTGGTGGTGACGGTGGCTGGGCTGAACGGCAACAGATACGGTAGCTCTCCGCGAAGGCCCGAAGGGCTGTGGGCTCAAGAATTGGAAGGTGCCGAAAGTGTTGCCTACCGACCTGCTAGGTGCGTGCGCCTTTCTCTCTGTAGCTGAATGGCTGTAGCCCTAACCCTTCCTCTCTGCCTCCCTGCCTCCCTGCCTCCCTGCCACCCTTCCTCCCTGCCTCCCTGCTTCCCTGCCTCCCTGCCTCCCTGCCTCCCTGCCTCCCTGCCTCCATGCCTCCCTGCCTCCCTGCCTCCCTGCCTCCCTGCCTCCCTGCCTCCCTGCCTCCCTGCCTCCCTGCCTCCCTGCCACCCTGCCTGACTTGGGAAGAGGCTCTTTACAACGCCCTCGTGAATCCTTCCTCCCTGCCGCCCACCCTGCCTGCCTGCCTACAATCTTCCAGTGGGTGGACAAGCTACTCTCGAGCGTAAAATAGACGCTGCAGACTGCACTGCATTTGATGCACCTATAAAATCCTTGCTCCTCCTACACTGTTCCCTTCCTCACCACCCCCTCTTGTCTCCTTTCCCTTCTCTTGCCTCCTTTCCCCCCTCTTGTCTCCTTTCCTTCTCTCCTCTCCCTGCCTGCCTGCCTGCAGTATTCCAGTGGGTGAACGAGCTGCACTCGGTGCATAAAGTAGACGCTGCAGACTACACTGCATGCACGTTTTTGAATGCTAAGCCACTTGCCCGGGGCCGCTACTATGGATTCTACACTGTCAAAGTGAGGGTGAAGGACATCGGCAAAACAATCTATTTCAGCAGCAACGTGGGTGATGACTGCAACAACGGCATCAAAGCAGCGTTTACAGTGGCTTCGTGATTCTACGTGTGTTGAGCTGAGCTGTAGAGATTGTCGTTTGGTTCGTACAAGCAAAGAGTGAATTACATGACATCAGTAAGGTCCTCGTATTTCAGTTCAGCAGCAACATGGGTGTATGCTGCAATGGGACGAAGGCTGCATTCGAAATAAATTCAAGACTAGGTGAGCTGAGCTCCAGTCTAGTACCACCTGAATGTTGCCTTCGGGTATGTTTATTCCGAAGGTGCGGGTAAATAATAGGCTTTTTATGGAAATCAATGTAGAGAAGTGTTCGTTTTGTGGAAAGAGCAAGGTCTACGGCAGCATAGCCTTATCCAGCATTGAGAGCTTGATTTTGTCACCCTTCTACCGTTATCGAGTGGCTTCCTTGCGGTTACAGTACACTAGGCAGGTTATAAAGTATAGTGGTGAGAATGCCAGTGTCAGATAAGCAGTTACTGTCACAAAAGCTAGGCTAGTAGGAACGGTAGGAATGTCAAACATGTGTATTTGTCATGTTTGTATAGACTGTATAGGGTCGCCTCTTAGAGGGTACAACACTTAGGTATATCTGTGTGTACTCTCACTCTACCATCATTCACTTCTCTAATTCTGATATGGTATCACGCGTAGGTTAGGATCCCCCCCCACCTACCGCTTCCGCTCGCCCCCCCTACCTCCTAGCGCCCGTCGTGCCCCTAGCCCGTCGCGCCCCTAGCCCCGTCGCGCCCCTCCTGGGCCCCGTAGCGCCCCTCCTGGGCCCCGTAGCGCCCCTCCTGGGCCCCGTCGCGCCCCCTGGGCCCGTAGCGCCCCTCCTGGGCCCCGTCGCGCCCCTCCTGGGCCCCGTAGCGCCCCTCCTGGGCCCCGTCGCGCCCTCCTGGCCCCGTAGCGCCCCTCCTGGGCCCGTCGCGCCCCTCCTGGGCCCGTAGCGCCCCTCCTGGGCCCGTGCGCCCCTCCTGGCCCCGTAGCGCCCCTCCTGGGCCCCGTCGCGCCCTCC